TCTTGGGCCGCTCTTATTGGGGCTCCCTGGGGACGTCCATGGGCCATTTGGTTGGTCGTTGGAGGGTGCGGAGGATATTTGGAACCGTCTTGGGATTGCTTTGGGGCCTATTGTATGTGTCTTGGGGTTGTCTTGTCTCGACATCTGTCCCCTCTCCGCCGGCGGAGAGATTAACGTAAGGCGTCTTCCATGCGATTCAAATGCGACGTGGCTCAAATCCACTGCCCGAGGCTAAGAGGCCGTTGTATCAGACCTTTGGCAAACTCCACGGGACGGGGACCGCCGTCGGGATTGCTCCCAGGATCTCCTCCCCTCCTTTGGCAAGCGAGCGATCAAAGCGAAGGGGCTTCTCTTCGAGTTAATTTCGCCGTTGATCAATTCCACTGCCCGGAATCGCCCCAGGGAGGCCGTCGACGTATTTGACCCCCCTCCCCGGGACCACCCCACCGGCGGGGGAGGGATGAAAGGGAAGAGGCTTCCCTTCGATTCAATGCAACGTTGATCAATTCCACTGCCCGGAGGCCGTCGTATTGGAACCCCCCCCAGGACCACCCCCCGGCAGGGGAGGGATGAAAGGGAAGGGACTTCCTTTCGATTCTATGACCACGTTGATCAATTCTATTGTCCGGAATCGGCCCAGGGAGGCCGTCGTATTTGATCCCCCCCCCTCTGGGACCCCCGCCCCGGCGGGGGAGGGACGAAAGGGAAGGCGCTTCGACCCTTTCGAGTCAATGGAATAATTACGACGTTGATCAATTGCACTACGAGGGGCTACTCTCGCATTGTCGTCGCCGCATTCGTTGTCATTGCCGTCGTGGGCACCCGCGCGGCCGTCCGCGCCGCCGTGGTCCAGGCGCTCGTCACGAGGGGGGCGATCCCCAGACATGAGCGCGACGCGCGAAAATCGGGGAGCGTCAACCTCCACGTGCCTGCAGGAGGGTCGAGGTCGGAGGTTCTCCCGCGTGTTCGTCGGTTCCCGAAGGCTTTCGAGCCTCGGGATGCTTTCCAGCAGCTGCGCCTCGCCGAAGGCGTTCAGGGGGTGCCCGGATCGTCTCGAATGGCCGCCAGAGATCCGAGTTCTGGCCCGAAAACCAATCCTCTCGGCGTCGTGGGCAAGACACACCGCGAGATCTTTGTGGTGATTTCCAGACCCTGGGGGCCCAGGATTAGATACTTGAGGGCCGGGACTTCTGGGGAAGCCGTGTTGGCAACGCATAATTATCTGGAGAACAAGCGAAGCGAACGCTTGGGCGTGCGCGCACTCTTTGGGGAGCCCCCCCGTGCCCAGCAGGCGGACTCACGTGGTGAGCACCGTTCAACATCATGCCAGTGGGAGGAGGACGAGGGGAGGGGGAGGACGAGGAGGAACGAGGAGGATGAGGCGGAGCAGCAGGAGCAGAAAGAGGAGGAGGAGGAGGAGGAGGAGGAGGAGGAAGAGGAGGAGGGGGAGGGGGAGGCGGAGGAGGAGGAGGAGGAGGAGGAGGAGGAGGAGGAATAGGAGGAGGAGTAGGAGGAGGAAGAGGAGGAGGAGGAGGAGGAGGGCTCCCGCAGCCCGCTGTGGCTCCCGCGCCGGGGGCGCCGGCAGCCCGCTGTGGCTCCCGCGCCCCGCGCCGGGGGCGCCGGCATCCCCTGGGAGAGCCGACGTTGCGATTTAAAGGCTGCCCGGCGCGGCCAGCAGAGGTTTGTTTTTCCCCCTGGTCTGTGGCAGGGTCAGGGACTTGGGACCGCAGGCCGGAGGGAGTTTGCCCACGAGTCCCTTCAAGGGAGTGGGGCCCTCAGCGGGCCCCACGGAGGCTGTTGCCGCTGCAGGCTGCGTAGTGCGTCGAGCACTTCCCGCCCTTCGCAGCCGACCTCGCGAGGACGGGTGCGCCTCGCGAGAAACCGCACCCGAAGCCCTACGGTCGGAGTTTGGGCTTAGAGCGTCGCCCCGCCGGGTCTGGCCCACCACGCTCTGACGCGACACGCTATACTTCCCAGTCCTCCAGCATTCGCGTGCCGAGCTCTTCCCTGTCTCCCGCCCCCGCGGAGCCGAGCGGCACGGGATCCCCCTGCATGGGGGCCACGCAAAGGTTCCCGGATCCGTCTGCGATGGAGGAGGTTGAGGAGGAGGAGGAGGAGGAGGAGGAGGAGGAGGAGGAGGAGGAGGAGGGGGAGGAGGAGGAGGAGGAGGAGGAGGAGGAGGAGGAGGAGGAGGAGGAGGAGGAGGAGAGGAGGAGGAGGAGGAGGAGGAGGAGGAGGAGGAGGGAGGAGGAGGAGGAGATGAGGAGGAGGAGGAGGAGGAGGAGGAGGGAGGAGGAGGAGGAGGAGGAGGAGGAGGAGGAGGAGGAGGAGGAGGAGGAGGAGGAGGAGGAGGAGGAGGAGGAGGAGGAGGAGAGGAGGAGGAGGAGGAGGAGGAGGAGGAGGAGGAGGAGGAGGAGAGGAGGAGGAGGAGGAGGGGGGAGGAGGGGGAGGAGGAGGAGGAGGAGGAGGAGGAGGAGGAGGAGGAGGAGGAGGAGGGAGGAGGAGGAGGAGGACGAGGGCGAGGCGGATGAGGGGAGGAGGAGGAGGAGGAGGAGGAGGAGGAGGAGGAGGAGGAGGAGGAGGAGGAGGAGGAGGGTGAGGGTGAGGGTGAGGGCAGTAGGGAACGCGTCAGTCGGGCCGACGCGCCCCGCCCGCGGCGCCCGCGACCCCGCTCAGCGGTCGCCGCCCTCGGCGGCTCGCGAGGCGCGGGGCAGTCTCGGCGCGGCGCTGGCCCGCGCCCGCTTGGCGGGCGGACCGCTCGCAGGCGCCCCGCGGGTGGCCGACGGTGGCCAGCTGCTGGGGCGAGGGCCACGGCCCGCGGGCACAGCGGCCGCCGCTCGGCGCTGCCGCTTCACGGTCTGGCCGACCTCGTCCTCCATGTCCGAGACGATGCTGCCGCGGGCAGCGCGGAGGAGGAAGGCGACCTTGTCGTGGAAGGTCGCGTCCACTGGGAGGCCACGGGGAGGCGAGGAAGACTCCGCGCCCGTGGCGCTCCTCGCCCCCCTTTCGAACTCTCCCATCCCGCAATTTATCACAGGGTGCGGGCAACTGTCTGGACCAGCCGAAGGACCTGGAGGCGCCGCTCCCAACGGGACTGGCCCCTCCAGGTCTGCCGCCACGAGGACCGAGTCGCCCAGCACCTCAAACTCCCGCTCTGTGTCGGCGTGGGGCTTTGGCGAGAGCCGCTTTGGGATCAGCGGTTCGCACGAAGCTAGGCCGATCTCCCGCACGGATCGACCCGCAGCACCAACGCCTTCACGTACCGCATCCCTGATCGTGTCGTCCAGCGCGTGGTGGACCGCCTCGTCCAGCGCGTCGTCGGCCTCCGTGCCCAGCGCATGGGGAGCGGCTGGCCCCTCCAGGTCTGCCGTCACGAGGACCGAGTCGCCCATCACAACAACATCCCGCTCTGTGTCGGCGGCGTGGGGCTTTGGCGAGAGCCGCTTTGGGATCAGCGGTTCGCACGAGGTTAGGCCGTTCCCCCGCACGGATCGACCCGCAGCACCCACGCCTCCACGAACAGCATCCCCGATCGTGTCGCCCAGCGCGCAGTGGGCCACCTCGTCCAGCTCGCCGTCGGCCTCCGCGCCCAGCGCAGGGGGGGCCTGGCCACCTCGGCGGCCTGCGGCACGTGCAGCTGCTCGAGCAGCGCGGCGCCGAAGGGCCAGCAGCCTCGGGCCGATCACCAGCTCGGCCTCCTTCCTCACAAACCTGCGCTGTCCGCTGGCCTTCGGCCACAGGCCTCGAGCCAGCCGCTGGAGGCAGTCGCGGCCAGCCCGCGAAGGGCGGCCTAGGCACCTGGCCCGAAGGCCCAGGCCCACCATGCGGCCCGCAGCGGCCACGAAGCACCCGCAGCAGACGCAGAACCACACGTCCAGGCGCTCGTGGAGTCGAAGAAAGTGGGAGGCATGGGGCCGACCTCCTCCGATGTGCGGGAGACCCTCCCGCAGCCTGAGCGTGGAGGGCCCATCGCGCAGCAGCCCTGGACAGCGAGATGCCATCCACTGCGAGCGCGCGGCGCGGGAGGCTGAACACCTGCATCGCAAGCAGCTGCCTCGGCTGTCCAGCGCGTGCGACGAGCCGAAGGCCTCCACCATGCTGGGCGCAGGCGGCGCCTGGCGCCGTCGCTTCGCGCGTCGCACCGATGGCGTGAACTCGGCCTCGGCGCTCAGCGCGTCCAAGGTCGCCCGCAGGAGACGTCGTCTGACCACCATCGCCATCTGCTCAGCCTGGAGCACACGCCCCCTCTCGGGAGCAGGGAGGCGGGCCAGCTCTGCAGCCTCTCCTGCGAGGACGTCGGCGACCGCATTGCCCATGATCAGCCACGGCGGGAGGCCGCGCCGCGCGGCCCCGTCCATGTCCAGGTGCGAGTTCACGTGCTCCACGACGAACTCCGACCTGTCTCGTCAGGAAGAGTTGGCCCAGCAGGGCCCACAGGTCACAGTCGGCACCCTGCGGCCGCTGATCGCGTCTGCTCCACCAGCCCATGCAGACCGCCAGGTTGTCGGAGACGAAGACCGTCGGCCCGAGGGAGCCCTGCGCGGCCAGCACCAGCGCGCGCAGCTCCCCGCGGTGCACGGTCTGCACGGGGCCGCTGAGGCTGCCCCAGACGGCCCGCTCCAGCATGCCGTTGAGCAGTTGGATCCTGGCCACGGCGAGTCCGACCCGACGAAGATGGGGCACCTGCCCTTCATGACCCCCGCTGGCATCGCCGAAGAGGATGAGGGGGGCGAGCTCGGAGCCTCGCCCGAACTCGCCAGGGGCCACGCTGTCAGCCCGATGGCCTTGCAAGAAGATCCACGAGTCGCCGTCGGGCGGGGCGCTGACCTCCGTCCAGCTGGCAGGGAGGAGGCCTCTGAGCCAGAAGGCGGCGTGCGCCTCATGGTCGGTTGCCGCTCGGCCGAGGAGGAGGAGGAGGAGGAGGAGGAGGAGGAGGAGGAGGAGCAGACGCCCAGTGCGAAGAGGTTGCAACGCCCAGACCGCGGGGCCGCGCCGCGGCCATGCGCGCCTCGCGCCCGCGCCGGGCCCTGCGGGAGTGGGCGGGGGCCCTGCTCGACCCCGTCTACCTGCGGAACCGGCTCTCGGAGGAGGAAGATCGAGACCCAGACATGATGGCGTCGTAAAAAAATCAGGACGGGAGGTTTTTCGTTATTTTCGGCCCCTGGGGGCCCTCGCCGGGCCTCGGGACCGTCAAAAAACGACTCAGGACGAAACACCGGCCCCAGGGAAAGGGTCTAGATTTCCAGGGGCGCCGTCCTGAAAAAATCAGGACTTCGCATGTTTGGGGACATACTTAGGGTTATGTCGGGCGTGTCCCCCTACAGGGGGATTTTCGGCAAGACGAACAATTAAACATACCCCCAAAATACCCCAAGAAGGTCAAAAAATAGTCCCCCGACTATTTTTGCATTACGTTTTGATTATTTTTGGAGTATGTTTTATGTTTCGTCGAAAATCCCCATGTAGGGGGACAGGCCCGACTTAAACGTAGGGGAACAAAAAGTGGCATAAACATAAAAACTCTGAGGTCCGCGCAGATCTCTCGGATCGGCGCCGGGGCCCCCCGGCGGAGCCTCCGGCGCCGCCCCTGGCGCGCTCCGCGCGCCAGGGAGGGGGCCCCAGCGCCGATCCGAGAACTCTGCGCGGACCTCCGAGTTTTCATGTTTATGCAATCTTTTGTTCCCCTAATATTGGTGCCGCTGCCCCTTCCCTCGTGTTGGCCCCTCTTTGGGCTTGATGTGGGAGGCTTCCGTGGCCTATGCGTCACAACGGCATTATTATCCTCGAGGTTCTAATCAGGGCGCACCCTTGGGACGGGTCCAGGAAGTAGCGATATCGGTATGTTTTTTTGTATCCCCAGGGCTCGCTTGTCCGTGTATCGCGCGTACGGGGTAGCCCCCTCTGAGGGGCAGCGGAGTTCTCGATGTGCTACTCATGGCCCATGACAAAAGATAAGCCTTTTTGCACCCCCACGTGAGGAGGGAAAGAAGGACGTACACGTACATGAATCCACGCTGGTTTCGAGAGTCCTCATTGCGCGAATGTTCGTATCACGCGGCCAGTCTCGGGGGTCAAGGGGTCGTGTTCATGTACATAGTTGGGCGCGTACGTCCTTTGTGGGCTCCCTACCAGGCTCGTCTACAATGCGCTCACGCAGCCGCCGATGGCGCTGGAGAGAGGGCCGCTGGTCTCCGGGCATCCCAGATGCGGCCCGAGTCGGAGGTGAGGTCAGCGAGTCGCGCCGCATCGCCGATGCATCGGCGATGCGGCTCGATGTGGAGCTCGACTTCCTCCATGTGACGGCGCCGATGGCTCGCCGACGCATCGGCGATGCGGTGCGATCTTCCGACCACTCCCACCCAGACTCGGACCCTCTTTCGGAGGCCACCGTTGGTCGTGGGTCCGGTGGCCGCCCCCGGGGGGTTGGCGCCGGCCTGGGCGTGCGGGGCGGCCGAGGCCTTGGCCGTTGTCCCGCCGTGGGCCGTGGTCCCCGCGGGGGCCCCGGGCCCGGGCCCGGCCTCCCTCTGCGCAGGCTGTGGCAGTGGGTCGGGCACAGACGGGTCGGCGGCGAGTGGCGCCATCGCTCCTCATCAGAGCCCCGAATCATCAGGGGTAACTCGGGTCAGGGCTATCTCGGGTTCGTTTTTCGGGAATCCGAACCCGAGTTACCCCGGACCCGAGTTACCCCGGATATTTCGGGCGTCCAGAGCCCCGAATCATCAGGGATAACTCGGGTCAGGGATAACTCGGGTTCGTTTTTCGGGAACCCAAACCCGAGTTACCCCGGACCCGAGTTACCCCGGATAACTCGGGCGTCCAAGACGGGTCGGCGGCGAGTGGCGCCATCGCTCCTCAACGGTGCATGGTCGCGTGCAGCAGCACGCAACCGCTGCGTGGGGGAAGAGGTGGGGGGCGCGAGCGATGGCACGGGCGACAGCGGCTGCAGATCTGAGGGCAGATGCACCAGTACATCCGCGCGCCATGAATGCATCCAGCGCGCAAGCTATGGCATCCTGGCGCCGACCGTTGCAAGTAAGTACATTATTCAGGGGTGGACAAGAACCCCCACCCTGACACGTCGATTCGTGACTTGTCCGCTTTCGGCTCTCGAGAGGGCGCCGCGGCCGTCGTTTTCCAGGCTTGCGCCCATGGGCCCGAGGTCGTTCTCACTACACCACGCCTTGCTAAAGGGGGCTCTGTCCATCCCTGAATTTTGTTGCACCTCTCCCCGCGGACCCAGCTTTGAGTCGGGCCTGTCCCTCTACAGGAGGAATAATCAAAAACAGTCAAACAATAGTCCGGGGATCATTCTCGAGCATGTTTGAGCAGTTTGGAGCATTTTTGGACTACGTTTTACGTTTCGTCGAAAATCCCCCATGTATGGGGGACACGCCCGACTTAAGCCCAGCTGCGCCAGACCCACTACTCCGCCTCGGACTCCCGAGGCCCGAGCTCGAAGAAGCGTCCGGCCACACAACTGCTTCTCCATGGAGGCCTGAGCTTCCCCCAGGCAGCCGGCGCTCCGACCTATATCCGATGCGCCAGGCCCCCGGAGACCAGTACACAGATCGACCTCGGGAGCCTTGAGACGGGGGTCAGTGCAAACGGGGGGTCAGCCAGAGCGCCCGATCTTGCACTGACCCAAACGGGGGGTCAGCCAGATCCTGCAGGGCCCGGGTCGCATTGACCCAAGTTTGGGTGCAGGATCCTGCAGGATCCTCCGCATTGACCCAGGCGTGGGTGCAGGATCTTGCAGGATTCTGCAAGGCCTGTGACTGACCCGGGACTGGGTTGACCCGGGTCAGAAGATCCCCGATGATGCGTCAGGCCCCCGGAGACCAGTACACAGATCGACTACACGTAAGAGTGACCCTTCGCCGGAGTGACCTGTGGTCCCAGACCCCCTCGGGAAATGAAAAAATCATGACGGGAGGTTTTTTTACAATTTTCGGCCTCTGGGGGCCCTTACCCGCCCTCGGGACCGTCAAAAAACGACTCAGGACGAAAATCCGGTCCAGGGGACGGTCGAGACCTCCAGGGGTCGACGCAATCCCAGACCCCCGACGTAATGATTTTTTCATTACGTCGACCCCCAGAGGTCTCGACCCGTTCCCCAGGACCGGCTTTGCACCCTGAGTCGTTTTTTGACGCTCCCGAGGCCCGGTGAGGGCCCCCCCGAGGCCGAAAATTAGGAAAAACCTTCCGTCGCATTTTTTCATTACTCGAGGGGGTCGACGCAATAACAGAATCATGACGTCGGGGGTCTGGGGTGCGGGCCTACGGGGCCCTCCTGATCGCTGCATGCGGTATGCTAGCAGTGGCCGACGCGCTCTGGTTTGGCCCCCGCGCGCCCTCCCACAAGTCAGGAGGAAAAGAAACACACAGACACAATTAATCCTCGATTTCCCAGAAAATAGGGGAACATATGGGAAGTGGGGGGAAGACAGAAACCCCAAATATATAGGAAAATATGGGGGTTATTTTTATTTGTGTGTATTTATTTGTGTGTCCCAGGGCCCCTTCAACAAGCCGCGCACCACAATCTCTTGCCTAGGGTCACTGTTATACGCGCAGCCGACCGCACTGACCAGGCCATTGGCAAGTCGGGGAAACAACACCTTTTCCTGCAAGGTCAGGGTTGGTTGTTTGTCCAGCGTAGTTTTTGCTGCGCTGCACTGCATGATCCGGGTCTTTGTGCGGGTCTAGGGGCGGGTGGTGCAGGCTTTAAAGGTCCATATGGGAAAATTGCAGTGCAGTTTCTCGCGCAACCATCTGGAAAAGTTGGTTTCGAGGGATGTTGGATGTTCTGGTCTGGCGTGCCCGGGCTTACGGGGTTCTGAATGCGTGAGGAAACATACCTTTCCAACTCTTCCAAAGGGCGGGTTTTTCGGTCCGAGCCGTTTCTTGACGGCTCTGCGGAGCCCGAGAGTGGCTCCAGCAGGGTAGAATTGGCGACACTCTGGCCGCCTCGATTTCTTCGTGGCGCCAGACTTGCAGGCCCGAAACGGATACGATTGAAGTGGGTACGATGCCCACCTGCAGATCTTGTCGAAAGGTGACAGCGGCCGCTGTTGGGCAGGCGGCCTCCTGTCTCACATGGACACCATCCGCGGCGACGCCGAAAGCGAACCATCTTCCAAACGGACAGGAATTGCGGTCGGTCCATTTCAGTACACACTTCCATCGTGCCAACCATACTTCCCGGGCGTCGGGGGCGGCCAGGCGAACGACCACGGCAGGAGGAGGAGGACGCCCGGGCCGGGAGCTTCCCGCTGCTGCACTGCGACAGCTGGGACCTGGGCCGGCTTCCCCAGGGCGCTGCGACGGAGCATCCCGACCAGAAGGGCCTCTGGGCGCTGCCGGCCGCGCTCGACCGGAGGGGGGAGGGGAGGGGAGAGGATGGGTCCCTGTTGTTGTCATGCCCAAGTCAGCCTCTCCTCCTGCGCCTCTCTCCCACCTCCCTCGTGTGCCGCCGTTGTGGTTCACCAGGGCCCTTGAGTCACCTGGCGCGCAGGCGACGGGCGCGCCGCGCCCTGGCCCGTGCTTTCTCAAAGCACGGGTCCCCCTACTTGTACTTCGTGTCTCTTTGGATTCCATACAGTTACTCCCTAGCATTTCACAGTCCCATGGACGCACTAACCAGCCAGCACACACCAGCGACCAAGGTCTGTCATGAACACGGTCACGGAAGGCGCCGCGCAAACAGATTTCCCTGGAAGCGAAAGTTTAACGTTGACGTTCCTTTCTTTGACTTTGGAGCTTCCCTGTTGGGCATTACCCCGCTGGGCGAATCGACATGTTTGGCATGATCAAATGTGACGAAGGATTGGCCGACACAAACGAAGTATTGATGCCCGCACTTCTCAATTCTTCAAGGGCGTCGGTCAAACATGCCGTGCGCAACAACAGAAACACAAGCATAACTTCGAACACAAGGTCAGAGCGCGGCCCTGAACTTTGGCTCAGAGTGTCGTCTCGCGGATTCTGGCCAACCATGCTGCGGCGCGGCACGCTGACTACGTCCTTGTCCCCGAGCGTCCACGTCTCCAGTTTCCCCCATATCCTAAGATGGGGTTCTTGTTATTTCCTGGACGCCTCCTACTCCTCGTTCCTCTTCTTCTCCTCCTCATCATCCTCATCCTCCTTCTTTTCTCCCTCATACCTAGAGTCACTTACGCACATATTTTTCTCATACACATATCTACTCATATTCAGACCGGATCATATTAACCTACTCATACTCAGACCTACTCATATTGAGACCTACTCAGAGTCAGACATACTCATAGTCAGACTTATTCATGCTGAGACTCACTCATACCCAAACTTACTCATACTCAGACCTTCACATTATCTGACTTACTCAACACACAGCAGATTGTGAGGATGTTTCAGGCGGGGCGCTGATTTCAGCACCCCGAAGGGGAGCCGCCAAGGGGTATGCCACGGTCCCGTTCGCGGCCGTTGCGTGGGGATGTCTCAAGCGGTTTGCTTGTTTTCTGTCTCAGCATTTTTCGCTTGGGTAGCAGTATGTGAGGATGTCTCAGGCGGGGCGCTGGTTTCAGCACCCCGAAGGGGAGCCGCCAAGGGGTATGCCACGGTCCCGTTCGCGGCCGTTTCGTGGAGATGTCTCAAGCGGTTTGCTTGTTGTTTTGTCTCAACATCCTTCGCTTGGAGAGCAGATCGTGAAGATGTCTCAGGCGGGGCCCCGGCTTCAGCTACCAAAGTGGAGCCGCCAAGGGTGCTTTCACTGCTCCGTTCGTCGCCGTTTTGTGGGGGTGTCTCTAGCGGTGTGCCTGTTTTCTGGTTTTGCGTTGTGTCCCGAGTGGCTGTCCCCGTTGCGTGCGGCGGTCAAGGAGGAGTGACCAGGTGTTGCTGGCGCACAGCTTGTGTCACCGTGGGATCGTGGGATGTTGTTTTCTCTTTCCGTGGTGCTTTCCAATCTTGTCGTCGTCAGCGGGAGAGGAAACTCAAGAAGGTTCATTATCCCGCGTGCGTTTTGGGCTGGGGAGGGAACTTGAAGAAAGGTTCAGTCTCTAGCTGCGGGAGAGGGAATTTGAAAAGGCTCACTTTCCCGCTCGCGGTCGAACCTTGAAAAAGGTTCACTCTCCAGGCAGGGACAGGGAACTTGAAAAGGTTCACTCTCCCTCGCGTGGTCGGACTGAAGGGGGAACTTGCAACGGTTCACTTTTCAGTCGCGGGAAAAGGGAACTTGCAAAGGTCAGTTCCCCGCATGCGATCGAACAGGAGAGGGGATTTGAAAAAGGTTCACTCTCCAGGCGGGGGAGAAGGAACTTGAAAAGGTTCACTCTCCCTTTTGTGGTCGGACTGAAGGTGGAATTTGAAAAGGTTCACCCTTCAGCCGCGGGAAAAGGAGCTTGCAGAGGTTCACTTTTCTCGTTGACGTACGAACTGGAGAGGGAATCTGAAAATGGTTTTCTCTCCCTACGACTAGGACGATTGAGGGATGCGAGAGGAGGGGGCGAGAGGAGCTTTGCTTCGTGTTTGGTAGAAGGGGGAAACTAATGCAATCTTTTGTTTCGCGTTTCAAGGGTTGGGAAGAAGATTTTTCTCTCCGGGGCGGAACAGGACTTGAATCGTTGAAAGCTGGCGCAAATCAGTATAGCTTGCGATACAACATCGTCACGAGACGCGCCGGAGGGCCCCGGGACGGTACAAATATTGTTTTAGGTTTGTTTCTGGCGGCTCCGGGGGCTCAGAAAGGATCTCCGGGACAGAGGAAACACGGGAGGGATCCCATGTAAAGGCATTCGGCCAAATCCGCCACCGTGCTTGGGTAATGGGCGGGAGAGGGAACTTGAGAAGGTTCACTTTCCCGCTTGTGGTCGAACTGGAGAGGGAACTTGAAAAGGTTCATCCTCCTTACGAGTAGGACGATGGAGGGGCACGAGAGGAGGAGGAGGAGGAGGACGAGAGAGGAACTTTGCTTGCGGATGAACATGTACAACGTGTTGGATGTGCAGCCGAACTGCGCGCGAGTGTGCTCGTCGCTCACGAAGACGCGCTCTTATAACAAAACTATCCTAGACATATGTGCACCATAGCACTATCCTGCAATATTAGATGCGCATCTTGCTCATATGGCTAGACTCTCATTGAACTGCCGCAAATACAACATCACCTTTAAAAAAGGATGCACATATGGGGAGCTCCACGCAGTGAGCAATTCTTGGCCTCCCGCCACGCGGAGCGGAGCGACGCGCTACCAGCTTGCACGGCACTGCGTGTCGCGGTGGCCGCCGCCGCGATACGCTGACCAGGCAGTTTTTGACCGCAGGTGCGTATTCCATATACCTATACTTATTTGCGTGTTGTCCCATGAACCTCCTGCCCGGTTTGTTGCCGAGCAGTTTGCGCGCCCTCATGGACGGTTTCCGCGGTGTCATGCGATCTCGTAGACGCGACTAGACAACCCATGCCAGTCACGAAGCATGTGTACCCATGTGTTTTCCCCATTCAGTTTGCTACCTGGTCTCTGCTGATAAGCGTGAGTGTGTGTGTGTGCGTGTGTGTTCGTTGAATGTGATGCCCAGTCTCTGCCGACTGGCTTGCGCGCGCTCGACTGTTGGAGTGCACGGGGTCAGTTCTTACATTGTCTTAATTCTTAATTCGAAGTCGATGCCATCGCCATGGACGATGGTGTCCAATCGTTGTTTTGGCTTTATCTCACAGAGCAGCTGGCCATCTGACTCAGGCTGAGGCCAGCGCTAACTGGGTCAGCCACTCCCCTCCGATCCCTCCCGGCTGACCCTGCAGTGGCAGGCACGTGGAACCGATTCCTCCCTCCGCTGACCTAGGTGTGGAAGCTACTATGTGGCTGGACCGGGTTCGCGACATGGCTTTGGCTGATCTGACCTGGCCTAGCGCCTCCCCGAGGGAGGGAGTAGGGCCCGTGCATCAAGTGAGAAGCCAGGCTGCCTGCAGTTGCCCACAGATGTGAAGTCTCTGCCGCCCGTTGGCCCTGGATGCCCACAGGAACGCGCTGTTGCTTTGTAGTCTGCTGGCCGCAAGATTTCGAAGCACCATGTGCCCACTGTCCCCTCGAGTGCTTGGAGGCTGCCAGGCGCTGTCCGCTCTCGGGCTCTCATCGCGCGGGCCCGTGCCCACCTCACCGCATGTACATCGAGGGGGAACACATCTTCGGACGCTGCCGCGTGCCATGCCCGCGCGAGTCTCGCCTCCCTTGACCTCTGCTGCTGATGTCTGCCGGGGCTGCGATCGCTTCTGCCTCGCTGCGAGTTCCAGCCTCGAGTCCTCGAGTGCTCGAAGATGCGATAATTAGGTCCCAGGGCGTTTTTGAACTACACGGCCAGATGTGCTGCGGTGGTCCCTGAGCGTCTCCTCCAACCGTGCACAAGGGTGCGCAGAGTGTAGTCCCTCAACGCGGTCTCCATCGGTCTTGCAGGGCGTGGCAGCACCAGAGGGAGTCCTCAAGGGCGGGTTCCCCATTCGCGCCAGGCTTGCAGGGCGTGGTAGGCGTCGGCATTTCCTCTGCACCAGGGGGTCCGCAAATGCGGGGCCCCCATTCGCGCCAGGCTCGCCAGGCGTGGCAGGCGCGCCAACTCCTCGCAACAAGAAAGGGTGCCCATGCAGACCTTCACATGGCAGCAGCCTCCATCTGTTTTGCAAGCTATCTCTTCGTTCCACTGGCACCCCTTGCATTCAGCTGTTCCCTGAGCCCGCGGAGGTGAACCACCACTGGTCACGAGGACCTTGGCCACAGGACTGCGAGAGTCGACCCGCTGGGTGCGGGGGTGCCACCCGTGCCAGGGTCACAGGATGTGGTAGGCATGGCATTTTCTTCACGGCAGAAGGCGCCCCCGGGGCAGTCGGCCTTGCCCTTGGGGCGGGTCTCGTTTCTGGCTCTCGGGGCCCCGTCGCGGGGCGCAGTGACTTTTGCCGCCGGCTGTGCGGCGAGAGCTTGTGACTCCATTCCGCTCCTCCCCGTTCTTCCGCCGAGGGAGAGGTACCCATGCCGCTACGTGTCCCTAGTTTTCCCCTTTCGGGGCCACCTCGGAGGCCCTCGCCGCCACCGTTGGACCATGGACAGAGCGCAGCCCGGGAGAGATTCGGGGTGTAGCGGTATTGGTACCTTTTGGTTTCCCCGGTTCTTTTCCACTCTAGTTGGGCTTCCCTTTCGTTCGACGCTTGGCTGGGCGCGCGCGGCATGCTGCTCGTTCTCGCCCGCGACGCAATAGTTGCCGAACCACAACAAGTGGTACAATTGTTGTGTGTGGGTTCCGTGCTCGAACCTCGGGGTTCGTATTGAGCCTGTTTTTTTAGACTCTGGCAAGTTTACTTGCATGGACGGGGGGGGGGCTGAGCCTGAAGCAAGCCCGGGGGGGGGGCGCGGAAATCACGCTAGTCGAAAGGCACTTGCACGCTAGTATTCGCTTCTTGAAGAGGGGCGAGGGGGCGAGGGGGGGGGGGGAGGGCGAACGCCATGCAAGTAAACTTGCCCGAATCCAAAAAAAACAGGCTCATTCGGTTTTGGTGGGGATTGGGCGGGTGTCCCGGAGTTTCGCCGCGCTGGCGCCCGCGCCCGCTCTCTGGCGCCGCGTGGGCGCCCCTTGTGCTGGGTGGGTTTCGCAAGGTCTCGTTCGTTTGCGCGCGCGCACTGCGTGGGCGCCTCGCGGGCGCTCCGTGCGCAGGGTGGGTGTCCACTGTGCTCGCCGCGATGTGGGTTTCGCAAGGTGTCGTTCGTTTGCGCGCGCGCACTGCGTGGGCGCCTCATGGGCGCTCCGTGCGCAGGGTGGGTGTCCACTGTGCTCGCCGCGCTGGCGGCCGTTCCCGCTCGTGGGCGCCCCGTGGGCGCGCTGTGCGTCGAGCGGGTTTCTCGAGCTGGCGCCTCGCTGGCGGCCGTGCCCGCTCGAAGGGCGCCCCGCGGGCGCGCCGTGCGCTTGCGCCGCATCGCTTGCGCAACAGAGCGCGCATCACATGGTTTGCACCACGCAGCGCGCAACGCATAGCTCATACAGTCAAGACGCCGAAGTAAGGAGCTGTTTGGGTTCGGAAGGGGCTCGATGTTCCTCAGGTTGGGGCACGGGCGCGCTTACAGGGCCGAGAAGGGGCTTCGTTCCTTAGTTAGCGTTCCTTCTTCCAACGGCCCGACTGTACCAATTTCCTTCACTCCGTATCTTGCACAGCAAATGTTGCAAACCATAGCTTGATTGGCCTGGCTCCCACCACGTAGCCCACACCACATTTTTTACACATCATGCAGTCGGACCAAGGGATGAGATCGAGGTGGATTCGGGAAGGGTGCCCTACTGTTGCCCGTGTTTGTTGGATGCTCTTGTGCATCCTGGAGAGGGTATCCGTGGATGTTCTGTTCGTTTTGGCCGACGGAGGGTCTCATGTTTTTGCGGGATGTTCTTCTGGCCTGGATCCGACTGTACCTGTGCCACGCCGCAGTGCGTCCAGCACCGCAATCGATCACGGTGGTGGACGGAGGCGTTACGTGAGGCCCCCCGGCCCCCCTCCCCGCCATCCCCCAACGCCCGCCATCGCCTTGGCATCGCTCGGACGTGTGCCTTTTTTCCTTCGGCGAGGACCATCGAGGAGCACCCTTGATCATTTGGCGAAAAAAACCACGCACGAAACCGGAAAAAAACACAGGGAATGGACGTCCGAGCGATGGCCAGTCGCCGCGAACGCAAAAACATCTTCCCACCATGACGCACCCCGCGACGACGGCGGCGGCGGCGGCGACGGCGAGGTCCCCTGCGGGCGGGGGGCGCAGGGGCCAGTGTTCTGCGGTCGCCGCGGCGGTGGAGCGCCTCACGCGCGGGCACTCGGCGCCCCGGGGACGGAAGACGGAGCGCCGTCGTCGGCGTCGTTGTCATCGTCGCGGTCGCGGTCGTCGTCAAGCCCTCCTCGTCTTCCCTTTTCCCCTTCCCCTTCCTCCCCCTCCTCCTCCTCCTCCTCTTCCTTCCTCTCCTCCTCCTGCCGCGTGATTTTCCTGCCCCCCCTCCTCTTCTGCCTCCCCCTCCTCTTCCTCCTCGTGGTCCTCCTCTGCCCACTCTCCCCTTCTTCCCCGCCGCTGTCGCCTCGGTGGCCCGTGCGGCGCGCGCCGGCGTGCTCCGCGCGCGGACGCGGGGTCGGCGATCGTCTCGTCTCGTCTCCCTGCTCTGCTCCCCCCCCCTGGAGGCAGCGGGGAGGAGCATGGGGAGGGTGGCAGCGGGGAGGAGGAGGAGGAGGAGGAGGAGGAGGAGGAGGAGGAGGAGGAGGTGGAGGTGGAGGAGGAGGAGGAGGAGGAGGAGGAGGAGGAGGAGCCCGTCGGCGCCCTCGCCCGTCGGCGCCGTCGGAGCCCGATATATCGCCGATGCATCGGCGATATATCGGCGATGCATCGGCGATGCACCGGCGAACTCGGCGATGCATCTGCAACGCCAGGTGAGAGAAAATCAGGCTCCGCACCGAGCCGCATCGGCGATGCATCGGCGATGCGGCGCGAAGTTCCGACCCCCTACTGCTCTGACGCCATCAGGGACTGCAGCCCCGTTGGAGGAGGAGGAGGTGGAGGAAGAGGAGGAGGAGGAGGAGGAGGAGGAGGAGGAGGAGAGGGAGGAGGAGGAGGAGGAGGAGGAGAGGAGGAGGAGGAGGAGGAGGAGGAGGAGGAAGAGGAGGAGAGAGGAGGAGGAGGAGGAGAGAGGAAGGAGGTGGAGGAGGAAGACGAGGAGGAGGAGGAGGGAGGAGGAGGAGGAAGAGGAGGAGGGAGGAAGAGGAGGAGGAGGAGGAGGAGGGCGGAGGCGGAGGAGGAGGAGGAGGAGGAGGAGGAGGTGGTGGAGGTGGAGGTGGAGGTGGAGATGGAGGAGGAGGAGGAGGAAGGAGGAGGAGGAAGAGGAGGAGGAGGGAGGAGGAGGAGGAGGAGGAGGGGAGGAGGAGAAGCAGGAGGGGGAGGAGGAGGAGGAATGGGGGGCGGAGTGTGAGGAGGAGGAGGAGGAGGAAGAGAAGGCGGAGGCACCTGTCGTGGCCGCATAAGGAGCTCCAACGAAGGCCCCAGAGACTGCATTCGCATGTGCCCGCGCCACCCAGTGCAGCGTTCCGTCGACGCATAGGGAAGCTCCGCCGAAGGCCCCAGTGGCCGCGGCCGCATGCGCCCCCCCCACTCGGTACAGCGCTTCGTGGTCCACTAGGGAACTGCACCGAACGCTCCAAAGGCCGCGGCCGCAAGCGTCTCCCCCACCCAGTGAAGCGCCGCCTCGTGGCCCCATAGGGGGCTCCGCCGACGGCCCCAGTGGCCGCGGCCGCACGGGTCGCCCCCACCCAGTACAGCGCTTCGTGGCCCCAGAAGGAGTCCCACAGAACGCTCCAGTGGCCGCGTTCGACTGCGCTCGCGCCGGTCAGTGCAGCGCTTCGTGGCCCCCATAGGGAGCCCCGCCGAAAGCCACAAAGGGAGCGTCACCATGCGTCCGCGCCACCCAGTGCAGCGCTTCGTGGACCCATCGGGAAGTCCACCGGAGGCCCCAGCGGCCGCGTTCGCACGCGTCCGCGCCACTCAGCAAAGCGCTTCGCGGCCCCATAGGGAGCCCCACCGACGGCTCCAGTGGCCGCGTTCGCATGCGTCCGTGCCACCCATTGCAGCGCGCCGTGGCCCCATAGGCAGCTCCACCGAAGGCCCCAGAGGTGACGCTTGCATTCGGCCGCGCCATCCAGTACAGCTACGTGGCCCTCTAGGAAAATCCACCGAAGGCCCCAATAGCCGCGGCCGCATGCGTCTCCCCCACCCCGTACAGCGATTCGTGGCCCCAAGGGGAGCTTTACCGAAGACCCCAGTGGCCGCGGCCGCATGCGTGTCCCCCCCAGTACAGGACACCCGTCAGACGCTTCGTGGCCCCGAAGGGAACTCCACCGAGATCGGTGCCCGCAACGCGGCATTCACAGCTGCATGTGGTTGGGTCTTGCGCCAAGATAACGTTAGCAGGGATCGTAGCCGTCTAGACCCAAGCTGTCAGTGAGGCGTGAGGACGGCTCTTGCCTGAGTGAATTGTGGGGAAGTCTCGGGCGAAACGGATCTTGGACCGGGTGTACTTGTGCTTCCCGTTCACCACGTGGGACGGGACTCTTTTGTCGTCCTCGTGCAAATTTGTCTGGAACCATCCAGCCAAACGCTTTTCGGGAGAAGACACTTGGGGAGGGGGGCTCCCAGTTTCCCCAGGATCCTGTACATACGCCACGAGACGGCCAAGAGGATCCCAGATGCCCTCAGCAGCGCCTGGTATGAGCCCTCTGATGGCCAAGGGCCCCAGAATGCCCAAGATGGTACTTCATGACAGTCGCCTGCCTGCCTCCCAATGTGGCTTCACGATGCCTCCCAGTGGCCCTCAAACCGCTCCTACATCGCATTGGAAATATTATCCTAGTGCGATCCTACCTAGGAGTTGGAGCATCTAGGAAAGCAACATCTACATCTACACCGACAGCTTACATCTACGTCAACATCAACAGCGAGACTCACATCTACATCTACATCTACACGTACATCTACATCTACATATGCATCTACACCAACATCCACATTTACACCTACACCTACATCTACATCTACACTGTCGCATTGGTTTTGCTTTTGCTTTGCCTTGCCTTTGCTTTTGCTTTTGCTGTTGCTGTTGCTTTTGCTTTGCTTTTGTGTTTGTTTTGCTTGATTTTGTTTTTGCTTTGCCTGCACACAGACACACACACACGCATGTTTTCGCATTCGCTCACCGGGTGTGCTTGAGAATGCTCCGTATCCGGTCTACATCGCATGTGTTCGCATTGCTATGCTATGCCATGCCATGCTATGCTATGCTATGCTATGCTATGCTGCGCTATGCTATGCTGCGCTATGCTATGCTATGAAATGTTATACTAATGCTGCGCTAAGCTATGCTGAGCTAAGCTAAGCTAGGCTAGGCTAGGCGAGTCTAAGCTGAGCTAGGCTAAGCTAAGATGAGATAAGCAACGCTAAGCTAAGGGGACGTAACTGGGGGAACCGCGGGGCGGATACTGGGGGAACCGCCCGGGGCGCTTTCCACTGCCCGGTCCCTTTAAGCCCAGAGAGTAAGAACCCTTCTAGGCAGAGCCTAGGTAGGGAACAGTGTCTCTTGGGGGGGTCGCCCACCCCCCCTCAATATCTACAACGCAGCTAAGTATCTACAATCAGAAGGATTCAATGCAAAACATGACATCTGGTTTCTTCTGCCGTTCTCTGCTGAGCAGTGGTCCGCTCTTTTAAGGACGGGTCCCTCGACATTACCACTTGAGCACTGGGGCGCTGCGCGCCCGTCCCTTTGGTGGGGATAGCTCTGCTGAGGCGGCGCCCTCCCGCGCTCCCTCCCCCCAGCCCTCACACTCCTCCTCCTCCTCCTCCTCCTCCTCCTCCTCCTCCTCCTCCTCCTCCTCCTCCTCCTCCGTCCTAATTTCTAGGGGGGGAAGTGGCAGTCGGAACCCGCTCGGAGAACAGGGTCGTCGGGGACCAGAGGTCCGGCCAGCCTCTGCCGGGGGGCGCCATCCCGCCGAGCAGGCGGTGGAGCACCCCTCGGCGCGCACTTGCGCGCAGCCCAGCGATGGAAGACCAGCTACGGACAAGTGACAGACTAGCTAAACGGGAAGGGCCCCAGACCTCCGACGACATGATTTTTTCAGATCGTCGACCATCAGAGGTGTGGACCCATTCCCCCGGACCGGTTTTTCGTCCTGAGGCTTTCTTCGATGGTCCCGAGGCCCTGCAGGAGGGCCCGCGGAGTCCGAACATGGGGACGACCTCCCGTCGTGATTGTCTCATGGTGCTAGGGGGTCTGTATTGTCGGGGCCCTGAAGAAGGAACCCTTTTCGTTGGGGAGGGGCCCCGCGTTCCTGGAGTGTTTCGCAGCTTGCCTCAGGTTCTCCGGATGTCTTCGACAGGAAACCGGAGGTTAACTTATGGAAAAAAGGGGCCTCGTTCTCTATTTTGGGTTCCTTAGGTCAACGCCTCGACTGTTGGGCCCCTCGCAGACAGACCCCGGCCGAGGTGCAGGGCCAGCGCGGCGAGCCGGTGGTGCCGAGCTGCGGGGCCCACAGCGGCCGCCCCCGCCCAGCCCCACCGCCGCGCCAGGAGGAGAGGAGCCAGGGCGCCGACGGGCTCCGCCTCCTCCTCCTCCTCCTCCGCCTGCGCCTCCGCCTCCTCCTCCTCCTCCTCCTCCTCCTCCTCCTCTCCGCCTCCTCCTCCTCTCCGCCTCCGCCTCCTCTCCTCCTCCTCCTCCGCCTCCTCCCGCCTCCTCCTCGCCTCCGCCTCCTCATCCTCCTCCGCCTCATCCTCCTCCTCCTCCTCCTCCTCCTCCTCCTCCTCCTCCTCCTCCTCCGCCTCCGCCTCCGCCTCCTCCTCCTCTGCCTGCGCCTCCGCCTCCGCCTCCACCTCCTCCTCCTCCTCGTCGTCCTCCTCCTCCTCCTCCTCCGCCTCCGTCCGTAGCCATTTTGGCTCAAGCCATTTTGGTTCAAGCAATTTTGGCTCAAGGGGCCTGCTCCTGAACTTCCAACCTCTCTCGAGGCGCCTGGTGGCCAGGCACCAAGGCCGGGAGCGGACGCGCTCCCCTGGCCCGCTGTGGCCGCGCTCCCTTGGCACTCTGTGGCCGCGCCCTCCTCCCGCAATGCTGTCCGAGGGCGGCGACTCGTGGCCCGTGTCTCTGTCTTCCACTCCTCCAGCCTCCCCTGGGGGGATGACGACTCCCCCGCCGGCGCCTGGAGGTACATGCGCGGAGGGTAAGAGGGACACCGAGCAGATCCTTGCCGCCATGCGTGACATGATTGCTCCTCTGTCGTCGTCGGTCGCGAGCTTGTCCAGTCAGTTGAATCTCGGCGTCCAGGAGATCAACCAACAGATATCTGGAATCCAAGGTCAAATGATAGCAGCTGAGAAGAATTTGCAGACGTTACAGCAGGCGCACACTGAATTGGCCAAACAGACGGCCGCAAACTTCGAGCAGATGCGTGCGATCCATGAACAGGCTCTTCTTCAGTGCATTCAGGACCGAGAAACCGCTGAATCTGCCATTCGTGAAGAGCTCAAGGGAACGATCCAGACGATGCGCGATGAGATTCAGAACCTTCGGAATGTCGTCGACCTGGGGACCCCGACACCTCGTGGGGATGATGAAAGGCAAGTACGGCGGAAGGTCGACTCTGGTCTCGTGGGAAGCCCCTCGCGTCTTGTGGTTCTCGGTTTCCCTCGGCCGCTGATGGAGAACACGCTCAGAGAGGCAGTCCAGGTCATCCTCTCCCGCCGTGTTCCGTCTTCGTCTCAGGGTTCGATTCAGGTCAAGGCCTACGATTGCAGTAAGAAGGTGTTCCTGGACTTTGATTCCAACCTAGAGGCCTCCACGTTCCACGGAATGGCATCGTCCGTGGTCACGCTCCCCTTCCCGAACCCTGAGGGCGGCCCTGACCTGCAGCTACGGGTCCGACGCGATCCCCCCCCCCTCATCCAGGAAGCTGTTCTACTATCTTGGGAATATGCGCCAGCATGTCTCCAGAATCTTTGGACAAGGTGGGGTCGACAGGATTAGGAGGTGCGATATACGTGATGAAGGACAACGGTGTCCCTGTGCAGGTTGTAAGGATTTTTATTGTCGATGATGGCCCCGCTGCGGGCACCGTTCAGTGTGGAGTCGAGATCGAAGGATTGACGGAAGTGGGTGGGCAGCAACATGCGCAGTGTCTGCACGTTAGGTTTGCAGAGATTCGCCCCTTTCGGTGAGTATCGGAACAGTTCGACTGGTGAGTGGGCGGCGGGGAGAAGTCCAGTGGGTTCGGCTACTGAGTGCTCGTCCGCCCTCCCTGCTAATTTTGGCGCACACCATGCAAGTGACAGTGCCTTATCTTTCTCGCCGCCTGCTGGGGAAGCTGGCGGTGTCTACCGCCCTGCCCGTCCTCTGTCCCCCTGCAGTTGGAACGCGCGCGCGCTCTTTGCCTCTCCCCCGTTCACCTTCATCCTCCCGGTCATCTCGGTCACGTTCACGCTTCCTTCGGGCTAAGCAGCTGCTCTTACAGTATCAGGTCATGTGTTTACAGGAGACGCACGGATCTGAAGCGGACTTGGGTTTCCTGCGGGACGAAATGCGGACTGGGCAATTTGTTGGGAGGTTTCTGGATGATCGGAATGCGGGTGTGGTGGTGACTTTCCTGTCTTCGGATCTATGTGGCGGCTTCGACTCGATCGCTCCGATTACGGTCGCTCCTGGGCGGGTTTCACTCGTGCATGGTCGGGGACCTCGAGGTGACTTGGTCGTGGTCAATGTTCATATGCCTAACGCGTGCGATGGCGCCCATATCTATCATCAGTACTTACGCCTCATCAGTGCCGCCCTTCCGGCTGCAGCGCACACTATGGTAGTCATCCTGGGAGACTGGAACTTCTGTACGATGGAAGATGGTAGGTCTCTGGTATCGGGGGAGATTGGGCCTGGGGACTGCATGCAATGCGATGCTTTCCAGGAACATTGTAGCCACTGGTGTGAATTATACCAGCCCGACCCGACCCGAAGATATATTGTGAATATGGAATTGAGGGGATTGGCCAGATTAGATCGGATTTACACGACCCTTCCTGCAGGTATTCTCAATGCGATGACCGTTGTTGTCAACGTTGTCGGCACCCTCATGCGTCCAGGGGCCTCTTCCGATCACATTCCAGTTGCCGCCGCAATTTCCCTCCCGACCCCGACGGGTCGCTTCTCGGTTCCGAAATGGATCAGCCAGCATGCCGACTACCACAGGACGGTTTCCGAACAGCTGCAGGAACTGACGCTCCCGTCGGACCCTGCCCAGAAACTCGCACGGGTGAAAGAAGTTTTCGGCGCGGCTGCTGTAGAATTTAAGAAGTCCCTTAAGCGTCGTCCAGCGGCCAGCGACGCGGAGCGGCTCCACTTTGCCTTCATGGCATGCCGTGGATGGAGGGGGCGGCAGTGGTATCTCTGTCTTCGTGCCATTCGTTGCTGCGCCTCTCTCCTGCCTTCCTTCGACGTCGACAGCGGTGTGTGCATTGATCCTGATGGCCTCCACAGTCTGGTACTGACCTTGAAGGGGCGCTGGTTTGATGCGGAGCTGGAGGAGTTGGATCATAGTAACCAGGCGGAGGAGGTAAGGACCAAGAAGAGGCGGAGGCTGGTGGCTCTTCGGCGTGGGTGGGATCTCATGATGAGGAGGACTGGGCTACTAGGCGTATTGGACGAGAACGGGACCCCGTGTGCCTCCCCTGAAGCGGCCACTGCGGCTCTGGTGGCCCATTGGAGCAAGGTCTTTGCCCAGGCTGATCGCGATCCGACTCATCGGCAAGAAATTCTGGCCCACGTTCATACTCCTGAGGACTCTACTCCTGCCCCGCGATGGAAATTTGACGCTGGCGAATTTCGGGACCGTGTCGGCCATAAGTTTCATTCTGCTCCTGGCCCAGATGGGATCCCGTATGGATGCTGGAAGGTCCTCGAGGATACCGTTGCTTTGTTCGAGGTCTACGAGGAGGTTTTCTACAGTGCATGGGGATGCACCCCCCCCTGAGTGTCGAGTTAGTCGCATGGTCCTTCCTCCCGAAGGGCAGCGACCCACGTGATCGCAGTGACTTTGTCTCACGTGCACCTGCCTCCGCCCGCCCGCTCTCCCTCTCGAACGCGGATGCGAAGATCCTCTCCGGCGCCTTCTGTTTTGGACTCAACGACGTCGCTCCCGTGACGGTGGATGCCTCTCAGCGGGGTGGGGTTCGAGGGCGTAACATTCTGGACAATGTTGTCGAGGTGGAAAAATGGGGCCTTACCCAACGCATGTGTGGGAGGGATAAAGCGGGGGTCCTATTCACCGATTTCAAGGCGGCGTTCCCTTCGATCCTGGCTGAGTGGATATTTGCCGTTTTGGTGGCTATGGGGGCCCCCGGCGAGACTGCGGGTTTCTTCAGGGCCCTATATGCCAACAATACCGCCCTTGTCTGTTTTGAGGGCGCTGCAGAAACGGTTTTCCCTGTGGAACGAGGCGCGCGGCAGGGGGCCCCTGCGTCCATGACCCTCTTTGCTATGGCCCTTGACCCTATACTGCGCTGGATCCGTGCCCGCCGTGTCGAACGGGTGGGTGTTCAACTGGCGTGTGCTGATGACTTCTGTTTTGGACTACGTGACATCCTCATCGACCTCATGCCCACCTTGCTGCTTCTTGACTTGCTCTCGTCCGCGATTGGTCTCTCTCTGAATGTGGGGAAATGTTACGCCTGGATCTGCGGGGCGCTGGATGGAGACGCCCTCGCTGCCCACGTGGCTGGGAAAGGTAGCCGGCTTGCCGCTGTCCGATTCGCCACCCGAGTTTTGCACCTCGGATTCTGGGTGGGCCCGTCGGCCCATGAGGTGGCCTGGGTGGAAACGATGAACAAGTTCTGGCAGCGAGTTCGTCTTCTTCGCTCTCTCTCGCTGGGCTTGGCGACCACTATCCGTCTGTTCCATTCTAATTGCCTCTCCGTCTTGCAGTGTCGGATTCAGCTGGTGAGGGTCACCCCGTCGGTTCGGCGTCAGTATAGGGAAGCTCTGCAGATCCTTACCGCGGGGCCTCGGCATGCGATGAATTACAGTATGCTCACTCAGCTACGTGATTTGGGGATCTCCCTGGAGTTCGTGGACCTGGGGCTGCATGATCAAGCTACGAAATTTCGGGTGGTGATGAAGTGCAAGGCGTTAGACCATGCTCTATATGAGTTGGAGGGCTTAGGGGGGGGAATGACCGGTGATGAATGTATCCCTGCTCGTATGTTTTCTGGGTGGTGGTGCCATTCGATGATACGCACGACGAATGAGGATGCGGCGGACCTTGTGAACTCTCCCGTTGATCGAACAGCCCGTTCTATCCAGGCCAAGGTCCATCGTCATTTGCGTTCGGTTCGTCTGGCTGCCACTTCCTTATTGTGTCTGGGTGTACGGATATCGTGGTGGTTAGTTGCTGCCGATCTCGAGGATATGTTCCGTCTGCGGACTAGATTGCGCGCCGTGGAGCGTACCACGTGCACTCATCTCGCTACCAATGTTCTCCGAGTACTGTCCAGGGGAGTGTGTACTTCGGCGCGTTTTCATGCGAATGACCGTGGGTGCTGCTTTGGACGTGCGGCCCCTGATGACCTACTCCACTACAAAATCTGCGATCGTTTCCGTGACCTTGCACTGCACCGTCTCCCAGGGTTGGAAGCCTCGTCCACGCCGTGGAGGGAGATGTGGCAGCACAGAGATACCTGGTTTACATGTCTCTGTCTATGGGGCCGCCCTGGGGGCTCGACCGCGACGTTGCCTGCGCCGCCTTCCTCGATGCCTTCCTGAAGACCCTTGCTCACCATCGGCGCCAGATTCAGGTCCCCTCGCGCCAGGTCTTCGTGGCCCGATTGCGTCTTCTAGCTCGTCGGTATACTGGCGTCGCACGCCGATTCAGGGCGCGACGTATGCTGCGGGCTGACACGTGAAGTGATGTCGTCTGAGTGTGACCGCCCCCTTCCCTCTCTCGCGCGTTTGTTCTTGTGCTCCTCTTTTGTTCCCTCTGCCTCTCCTGTCGCTTGCTGTCTCCCTCCTCTTCCCTGCTTCTGCCGCTGCGTCTCCCCTGCGGGGTGGGCTTTGTTGGGTCCTCGGTTTTCTCCCGCCCCTGCCTTCCCCTCTTTCCCCTGCCCTTCTTCCTGCCCGCCCCCTCGGTCCTCTTCGCTGCTGCTGCTCCGCCGTGCCGGTGCTGCTGCTGGCGGGGTTGGGCCCCCGCCTGGCTGGGGGGGCGCGCGCGGGGGCGCGCGTGCACCCGCCCCGCCGCCCCCTGCCGCCCCCGCCGCCCGCCCCGTCGACGACCTGTTCAACTGCGCCCGTTGCGCCTCTCTGGGAGGAAGGGTGCCCGCCTCCCAATTTTGTCTAGGCGTCTGTTCGGGCCTGGGTTGCGGGTCAAGGCGACGGTGGCATGGGTCGCGAGCGCCCGAGGCTTGCGGGGCATGGACTCTGTCCTCCCCCGTTGCCGAGCGCGCCTCCCCGCTGCCGAGGACTCTCGTCTCGTATGGGAGGATCGGTAGCGGGCGGGACTGCCCCGCCCCTCCCCGCGCGCGAGGTGCCACGGCACCTCCCGCGTGCCGCCGAAGTGCGGCTTCGCGCCGAGCGCAGGGTACACGTACCCCGTCCTCCCTCTCCTCTTTCGCTGCTCCTCTGCTGCTTCTGCTCCCCCTCCTGCGCGGTCCCCGACGTTGGCAGGAATGGCCTGCCGCTGCGTGGCCCTCACAGATCACGGACTATGGATATGGATAAGGATTATCGGTGTGCGTCCTGCGGTGGAAGGAACAAACAAAAACTCCTCCTTCTCCGCCTCCGCCTCAGCCTCAGCCTCCGCCTCCTCCTCCTCCGCCTCCGCCTCCGCCTCCGCCTCCGCCTCCGCCTCCGCCTCCGCCTCCGCCCCCGCCCCCTCCTCCTCCTCCTCCTCCTCCTCCTCCTCCCGGGGTGGGGGGGCTGCAGTCCCTGATGGGGTCAGAGCAGAGGGGGTCGGAAGTTAGCGCCGCATCGACGATGCATCGCCGATGCGGCTCGGTGCGGAGCCTGATTTTCTTTCACCCGGCGTTGCGGATGCATCTCCGAGCTCGCCTGTGCATCGCCGATATATTGCCGATGCATCGATGATGCGGCGCGATCTTCCGATCTACTCGGGCCCCATCTAGGGCGCTTCTGCTCAAGCGGGTGAGATGGGGCCCAGAGGAAGAACAGATACCGATACTGGAAAAAGCGTGTTCTACCGCTGCTGGCGGAAAACCGGCGGGGGCCACTACCGGTTCGACCACCCCCCCCCTCTGGAAAACCGGGGGGGGGGGGGGGGGGGGGGGGTCATTGCCGGTTCGAACCCTTCCCCCCCGCCCCAGTTCATCATGAAAGGGGGGGGGGGTCACTACCGGTTCGAACCCCCCCCCCCTCCTCGAACTCGAAAACCGGGGGGGGTCACTACCGGTTCGAACCCCCCCCCCCCCCCCTCGAAAACCGAAGGGTGGTGCGGACAGTGGTGGGGACGGTGGTGGTGGGGCAATGGGGACAGTGGGTCAGAGCAGAGGGGGTCGGAAGTTAGCGCCGCATCGACGATGCATCGCCGATGCGGCTCGGTGCGGAGCCTGATTTTCTTTCACCCGGCGTTGCGGATGCATCTCCGAACTCGCCGGTGCATCGCCGATATATTGCCGATGCATCGATGATGCGGCGCGATCTTCCGATCCGATTTATTCGGGCCCCATCTAGGACGCTTCTGCTCAAGCGGGTGAGATGGGGCCCAGAGGAAGAACAGATACCGATACTGGAAAAAGCGTGTTCTACCGCTGCTGGCGGAAAACCGGCGGGGGTCACTACCGGTTCGACCCCCCCCCCCTCTGGAAAACCGGGGGGGGGGGTCATTACCGGTTCGAACCCCACCCCCCCCAGTTTCATCATGAAAGGGGGGGGGGGGTCACTACCGGTTCGAACCCCCCCCCCCCTCCTCGAACTCGAAAACCGGGGGGGGTCACTACCGGTTCGAACCCCCCCCCCTCGAAAACCGAAGGGTGGTGCAGACAGTGGTGGGGACGGTGGTGGTGGGGACAGTGGTGAAGGGACAACGGGGACAGTGGGACAGTGGTGGGGACGGTAGTGGTGGGGACAACGGGGAGGACAACGGTGGGAACAGTGGGGACAGTGGGACAGTGGTGGGGACGGTGGTGGTGAGGACAGTGGTGTGGGGACAGTGGGAATGTGGTGGAAACAGTGGGACAGTGGAGGGTACAGTGGTGGTGGGGACAGTGGTGAAGGCGGTGGCGAGGACGGCGGTGGGAAAATGGGACAGAGGTACAGTGGGGACAGTGGTGGGGACAAGTGGGACAGCTCAGTGGGACAGCGGAGGAGTCAGTGGGACAGTGGGGACAGTGGGGATAGTCGTGGAGAAAGTTGGGAGAGTGGAGCCGTGGTGGGAACATGGTGGGGACAGTGGGGGACAGTGCGACAGTGGTGGTGGCACTGGTGGGGACAGTAGGGGCGGTGGTGGAACCAGTGGGGACAGTGGTGGTGAGGACAGTGGCGCTGGGAACATCAGTGGGGGATGTGCCTGAAGGAATTGACCTGTTATAAGAGTTATCAATAGTTATAAGTAGGTTATAAGTATGTTGTAAGTAGGTTATAACAGGTTATAACATGTTATAATTTGTTGGCGCACTTATAAGTTTGCTAAGTCGGAGCCCGGAGTTAGCCCGAGTTATAAAAGTTAGTAACTCCGCTAACTTTTCAACATGGTTCTCACCATATCGACATAATCATATATTTTGCAGGGTGTACTCTTCAAAAAAAGAAGAATTTGATAATATTTTTGCAAGTGTTGCACTCATCATTGCGACTTCTCGCATATCATATCTACGCTGATCACAATTGCAATCGATGCAAATCCGCAGGTAGTGTTGCAACAATTGAGTTGCATGTTGTTTTTTTGGGCATGCCATGTTGAGTCCGTTGTCATTTGGGCTCCAGGGCATTTCGCGCGCATCATTTTGTGCTCACGATTTGCAAGTTGCGTCTTGCATCCATCTGAGACATGCAGCCGCATGGAGCGGATGCTAATATTCTCAAATGCAAGGACGCAATGGACATTATTGAGAAGAAGTTCGACTCGCCTAAAGCAGAGGTGGTGGATTTGTACGAACAGGTCAAGGCGATAGCTCGCCAACATGGTATGCTACTGACAGAGAAAATCAACAGTAAGTATATGTACGTGAGCCCATGCAACAGATATGGCGACGGCGTCGTGCCGTGTGACGTCACTGACTTGATCATTAAAATATTGGGAAATGGGTTCAGGCACGAGCATCTGTTGATGCCTACGTGTGCCGAGGTGCCCCCAGTGGGCACTGCTGAGTACCTCAAGATCAAAGGGTTTAACGACAAGATAATGGCCGATAGCGCAGGACAGCTGCCGTTCTACGATGACGGTGATGGTAAATATCAGAGTTACACATGCGGCCATACATCGCAAGGTTTGCGATGCATCATACATGGCACGAACGTGCCCGAGACCAACCCAGAGCGGTTCAGCGACATAAGTCAGGACGGGAAGATATCATTGCAACGCCTCCAGCAATTCCAACCAACTTATGCTGATGCGGCTGTGAACGGTATCACATGGGACATCTTCAAATGGCAGTTTATCGAGGCGTTTCCTTTCGTTCCAGACCTTGTGCAAGAAGCGGGCAACGCAGGGCAGGCCGCTGCCAAGTGCGAGAGCAGGCTGGAAATCATGCTCAAGATTGCGCAGTACGCGAAGAGCCTGAAGCAGAAATTAGAGCTGAATCCGAATGAGAAGTTCCCATGGGATAAGGTCAGGCGCCAGGCGGGCAGGGGCGCAGTCTTCAAGCATGAGATAGACCACATGGTGGACTATGTGAAGGAGATGTCAGGCGGACTGGACAATCCAGTGTTTCTTCACGAGCTAAGGGACTTCAACAGGCACCTGGCCAGAGCGACGATAGTAAAGTCAGATGTCGCGGCAGCCGTCGCGACTTGCAAGATCGCGAAGGAGGGGTCGGGGGTGCAATTCAAGCTCGCGTGCATCAAGGCTATGCATGGCCCGAGCGACAAGTATAGGAAGGGCGACGAACAGACGCTACTGAAGCTCTCGGACGTCAATGTGTTGCAGAACGAACGCAAGGCGCAGATCGCGTTACAGGGCGATGAGTTGCTGCAGAAGATTCGCAAGCTTGCGATTGACTTCGAAATCGATCCATCGAGCGCTCGCTGGTCCAACATAGTCGGGCTCGCCGATGTTCGAGTTGCCCGCTTCGTCTTCAACAAGCCCGACGAGAGCCGCGGGGTATACAAACAGATCACCGACATCGCAGTTGACGCTTGGAAAGCTATGGCTGCCAGCACTGGCAATAACAACGTTCGCTGCCCATGGAAGGCCAAGGCCGTCGCGCATGCACCACAGTGTGCTAGCAGCGTCTCCTCGACAGGTGTCAAGACCTTTGACCAGCGTGGCGAGTGGGTGAACGTGTCCGAAACGTTGGCTGTCAAAGGTTTCAAGGTGGGCGTGACGGTGTACAACCGCCAGGAGGGCGATGAGTCTGTGTATGAGATCAAGTCGATTGATGGGCAGAATGTGAAGATGCAGACGGGAGACGTAGAGCGCACCATAGATGCCGAGGACTTCATGCGAAACAAGTTCGCAATATACGACATCAAGAAAGAGGTAATCGACCAGTTCGACCAGTTCAGCCCATTGAATTGCATGGACTACCACTGGGGGGTCGAGGAAGCTCGGATCAAGATTGCACTCGACGAAGTCTATTCACAACATAGTGCTTGCCTCATGCATAGCACGGCGATTCATTCGCCAATCAAATATAAAGCGGTGTCAGTGAAGAAGGAGTTCAAGAAGGACGCCATCGGACTTGTTCCGTTGACGACAACCATATCGCTCAAGAAGGCGACGGATGAGATCAATATTGGCAACGTTTGCCGTAGGAAGTATACCGACCCTGCCAAGCATGCCGATTCCAACGTCGCGTTGATGGCCGCTGGCGGGCTCAGGCTCAAGCGTGAAGAGGGTGGGACTGGCATTGGTGGTCTGAAGCGCGTGCCAGATCAGTACGGGGTGCCTTTCTGGTTGGTCGGCGTGTGCACCGCGAAGGAGAAGCCAAACTTGGCTGTGACATTTGTGACCGCCACGAACGGCATTAAGGTTCCCATCCCCAAAAACACGGTCGAGCTCAAGAGCGGCGACAGGTTGCGCATGTCCGAGGACACAGCAAGGGCGCTTGCAAGGAAAGTTGCATTGTCCGACGCCACGCCCGCCAAGCCCGCCAAGAAAAAAAGCAAAGACGCAGTGGGCCGCCCATTCGCCGCATTGCCGCGGCATTACGCAGGGCGTTGGCGTCGCCCTCCGTATATGAACGCACCTTGTTGGATGGCGAAGACATACTGAAATGCTTCATACTGCGATGCGTCATCACACCATCGCATCGCACCATTCTGCGATGCAGCATCGCGCCAGTCTGCGACATCGTCGCAACGCACCATAGCCGTTCTGGCTCAATCGCTGGGGTATCACGCGGCCCACGCTGCCCCGCACGTCTGCATGTCAGCGTCTGTTTCCATGCGCACGGTGATCGAGGGCGGCGGGCTCAAGGAGCCGCGGATACCGCGGACTATTGTCCATAGCGGAGGTGTTGCGTTCACCGAGGTATCCCTGATGGACAGGAGGCTCTTCCAGTTCGTCGACGTCCAGAACCCAACAAACAGGAACGCCCCATTTGCCCAAAATCATGTCTTCAAAGAGTTGAAGGCCCTCCGAAACGCTGCATCGGACATTGCGATATGGGAGTACATGAAATCGCGAGACCCATTGCTGTCGGACCAGTCTGACCAAGACAAACTGATCAAGGCCTACAAGAAGAACATCGACGAGAGTGCTATGCCAGCATACGTTACGGTTCAGTTGCCAGAGGTTGAATTTAATGGTGGCGGCGTGGCCTTGAAGTGCGAGCCGATCGCAGTAAGATGCATATTTTCTGCATCAGCGATTAGCAAGGTACATGTGGAATGTACAGAGAGCGTACTGACTTACATCAGATGTGCTGCGCTGAAAGCAGCAGAGGACGATGGCACCGAGAAACAAAAGAGAGGACTGAGCGGAGTGCCAGGGGTCCGATGCGACAAGCGTCGCAGGGTAGTGTATGTCGTTGTGAAATCCCACAACTCGTCAAGACGCATCTATCAAAAACCAGTGGAATGGAATGACACGTGCATTTTGCACTGCGCCCGCGAGCTACGCGACAAAGTGGTCGCGAAGGGCGAGGAGATAGAGGATCACGAGCCCGATGCCGATCTTCTCCATGGGCTGAATTGTGCCGAGCATGCCGAGGGGGGTGGACCCGAAGATCAACAGGGCGATGGCGAAGACGACAATGTCGATGCTGCGGGTGATAGCGACGCCCAGGGCTGAGACGCCAGGCGCTGCGTCGGGCACGCACAGCGCGCCCACCCTTTCGACCTCCTATCTATTCTCTCACCGTCGGCCCCGTCGTCCTTCCCACCCGCGGGGGGGGGGGGGGGGGGGGAGGGAGGGGGGGGGGGGGTACGGCCGACCAGGCGGGGATACGGCATCCGACCTCATACCCTTCTCTTTCTTTCATATCATCTTGTGACCTTCCAGGGCCCTCCTCCCTCCTTCTCCTCTCGCTCCACTTCCTTCTCCTCCTCCTCCCCCCTCTCCTCCTGCCTCTCCCTGCTCCTGCTCCTCCTCCTCCTCCTGCCTCTCACTGTCACTGCTCCTGCTCCTCCTCCTCCTTCCTCCTCCTCCCCCCCTTCGCCTCCCCCTCCTTTTCTTCCTTCAGCCTGGTTTTCGGGGTCTCCAGACCTTGGGATTTTTTAAAATTGTAAAAATTTTAAAAATTTTAAAAATTTTAAAACACTTTTGAATTTTTAACATTTTTAAAATTTTTAAAAAATTTAAAAGTTTGGGGGGTCCGGAGTTTCTGGGGGGTCCTGGCCGCCTGGTTTGCGGATTTCCCAGGCCCTGGGATGTTTAGAAATTTTAAAAATTTTGAAAATTTTAAAAAAATTTAAAACACTTTTGAATTTTCAAAATTTTTAAAATTTTTGAAAATTTAAAAGTTTGGGAGATCCGGAGTTTCTGGGGGTCCTGGCCGCCTGGTTTGCGGATTTCCCAGGCCCTGGGATGTTTAGAAATTCTAAAAATTTTAAAAATTTTAAAAATTTTAAAACACTTTTGAATTTTCAAAATTTTTTAAAATTTTCTAAAAATTTAAAAGTTTGGGAGGTCCGGAGTTTCTGGGGGGTCCTGGCCGCCTGGTTTGCGGATTTCCCAGGCCCTGGGATGTTTAGAAATTTTAAAAATTTTAAAAATTTTAAAAATTTTAAATCACTTTTGAATTTTTAAAATTTTTAAAATTTTTAAAAATTTAAAAGTTTGGGAGGTCCGGAGTTTCTGGGGGGTCCTGGCCGCCTGGTTTGCAGATTTCCCAGGCGACTCCCCCCCAGGCGTGTAACGGTGCAGTTTAACAGAAACGGTCTTCAAGATTTTCTGCTACCTCTGGGAGGTTGGATTGGACCCCGACTCCGAACCCAACGCCGACGACGCCGCCGCCGCCGACGACGACGACGGCGGCGGCGGCAGCGGCGGCGACGGTGGTGGCGGCGGAGGCGGCAGCGGCGGCGGCGACGACGACGACGACTACGGTCGATCGCCGGCGGTGTCCGATTCGTCCCGCGTGGCCCGGACCGCCACCGGGGACTCGAGCTGCGACCGGAAGGGCCGCTACCGGAAGGTGCGCTGTCGGCACCCCGCGGGCCGCTACCACCTCTCGTCGTCGCCGCCGCCGCCGTCGTGGTCGTCGTCGTCGTCGTCGTCGCCGTCATCGTCGTCGTCGTCGTCGCCGCCGCCGCCGCCGTCGTCGTCGTTGCGGTCGTCGTCGTTGTGGATGTCGTCGTCGTGGTCGTCGTCGTCGTCGTCGTCGTCGTCGTCGTCGCGGTCGTCGTCGGCGGCGCCGTCGTCGTCGCTGCGGTCGTCGTCGTTGCGGATGTCGTCGTCGTCGTCGTCGTCGTCGTCGTCGTCGTCGTCGTCGTCGTCGCGGTCGTCGTCGGCGGCGCCGTCGTCGTCGTTGCGGTCGTCGTCGTTGCGGATGTCGTCGTCGTCGTCGTCGTCGTCGTCGTCGTCGTCGTCGTCGTTCGAGGTCGTCGGCGGCGTCGTCGTCGGCGGCGGCGGTGGCGGCGACGGCGGCGCCGTCGGCGGCGGCGGTGGCGGCGACGACGGCGGCGTCGTCGTCGGCGGCGGCGGCGACGGCGACGACGACGACCACGACCACGACGACAACGACGACGGCAGGGCTCTCGGGAGAGGCATTTTAGATAGGGCGATCCCTATAAAACGGAGGGCATTTTCGATAGACCGGTCTCCCTAAAACGGGATGGAATTTTAGGGGGACCGGTCCCCCTAAAACCGGATGGAATTTTAGGGGGACCGGTTCCCTTAAAAATGGCCCCTATTTTAGGGTGACCGCCACCCTCGGCTGATGGCTCGAAATGTCCGTTCGGGCGCCCCGTATAGGCACACTCTTGGAGTCAGCTTGGGGAGCCTCTTAGGCCGTTTTGGAGGCGGCATGGGCCGTCTTGGGGCCTTCTTTGGCCGTCTCAGAACCATCGTTGAGACCTCTTGAGCCGTCTTGGAGCGATCTCGGGGGTGCATCTTGAGGTGTTTTGCTGGCCTCTTGGGAGAGGCATTTTAGAGATAGAGATCCCTATAAAACGGGGGGGGGGGGGGGAGAGTGGAGCCGTGGTGGGAACATGGTGGGGGCAGTGGGGGACAGTGCGACAGTGGTGGTGGCACTGGTGGGGACAGTAGGGGCGGTGGTGGAACCAGTGGGGACAGTGGTGGTGAGGACAGTGGCGCTGGGAACATCAGTGGGGGATGTGCCTGAAGGAATTGACCTGTTATAAGAGTTATCAATAGTTATAAGTAGGTTATAAGTATGTTGTAAGTAGGTTATAACAGGTTATAACATGTTATAATTTGTTGGCGCACTTATAAGTTTGCTAAGTCGGAGCCCTGAGTTAGCCCGAGTTATAAAAGTTAGTAACTCCGCTAACTTTTCAACATGGTTCTCACCATATCGACATAATCATATATTTTGCAGGGTGTACTCTTCAAAAAAAGAAGAATTTGATAATATTTTTGCAAGTGTTGCACTCATCATTGCGACTTCTCGCATATCATATCTACGCTGATCACAATTGCAATCGATGCAAATCCGCAGGTAGTGTTGCAACAATTGAGTTGCATGTTGTTTTTTGGGCATGCCATGTTGAGTCCGTTGTCATTTGGGCTCCAGGGCATTTCGCGCGCATCATTTTGTGCTCACGATTTGCAAGTTGCGTCTTGCATCCATCTGAGACATGCAGCCGCATGGAGCGGATGCTAATATTCTCAAATGCAAGGACGCAATGGACATTATTGAGAAGAAGTTCGACTCGCCTAAAGCAGAGGTGGTGGATTTGTACGAACAGGTCAAGGCGATAGCTCGCCAACATGGTATGCTACTGACAGAGAAAATCAACAGTAAGTATATGTACGTGAGCCCATGCAACAGATGGCGACGGCGTCGTGCCGTGTGACGTCACTGACTTGATCATTAAAATATTGGGAAATGGGTTCAGGCACGAGCATCTGTTGATGCCTACGTGTGCCGAGGTGCCCCCAGTGGGCACTGCTGAGTACCTCAAGATCAAAGGGTTTAACGACAAGATAATGGCCGATAGCGCAGGACAGCTGCCGTTCTACGATGACGGTGATGGTAAATATCAGAGTTACACATGCGGCCATACATCGCAAGGTTTGCGATGCATCATACATGGCACGAACGTGCCCGAGACCAACCCAGAGCGGTTCAGCGACATAAGTCAGGACGGGAAGAACATAAGTCAGGACGGGAAGATATCATTGCAACGCCACCATTTTTTCTTCTTCACTTTTGTTTTTATTTCAATTCTTTGTTTTTTAAATTGTTCTTTTTTTTAATCCTTTCTTTTTTTTTCTTTTCTTTCTTCTAATTTTTATTTCTTCTTTCCAGCAATTTTCCAACAACTGATGCTGATGCGGTTTGTTGATCGGTATCACCTTGGGTATCTTCAAATGGCAGTTTTTCGAGGCGTTTTCCTTTCGTTCCAGACTTTGTGCAAGAAGCTGGGCCAAACGCAGGGCAGGCGCTGCCAGGCTGCCATGTGCGAGAGCAGGCTGGAATAATCTTGCTAAGATTGCGCAGTACGCGTAGAGCCTGAAGCAGAAATTAGAGCTGAATCCGAATGAGAAGTTCCCATGGGATAAGGTCAGGCGCCAGGCGGGCAGGGGCGCAGTCTTCAAGCATGAGGTAGACCACATGGTGGACTATTTGAAGGAGATGTCAGGCGGACTGGACAATCCAGTGTTTCTTCACGAGCTAAGGGACTTCAACAGGCACCTGGCCAGAGCGACGATAGTAAAGTCCGATGTCGCGGCAGCCGTCGCGACTTGCAAGATCGCGAAGGAGGGGTCGGGGGTGCTATTCAAGCTCGCGTGCATCAAGGCTATGCATGGCCCGAGCGACAAGTATAGGAAGGGCGACGAACAGACGCTACTGAAGCTCTCGGACGTCAATGTGTTGCAGAACGAACGCAAGGCGCAGATCGCGTTACAGGGCGATGAGTTGCTGCAGAAGATTCGCTAGCTGCGAATTTTTGACTTCGAAATTCCGATTCATCGAGCGCTCGCTGGTCCAACATAGTCGGGCTCGCCGATGTTCGAGTTGCCCACTTCGTCTTCAACAAGCCCGACGAGAGCCGCGGGGTATACAAACAGATCACCGACATCGCAGTTGACGCTTGGAAAGCTATGGCTGCCAGCACTGGCAATAACAACGTTCGCTGCCCATGGAAGGCCAAGGCCGTCGCGCATGCACCACAGTGTGCTAGCAGCGTCTCCTCGACAGGTGTCAAGACCTTTGGCCAGCGTGGCGAGTGGGTGAACGTGTCCGAAACTTTGGATGTCAAAGGTTTCAAGGTGGGCGTGACGGTGTACAACCGCCAGGAGGGCGATGAGTCTGTGTATGAGGTCAAGTCGATTGATGGGCAGAATGTGAAGATGCAGACGGGAGACGTAGAGCGCACCATAGATGCCGAGGACTTCATGCGAACCAAGTTCGCAATATACCCCTAACCCCCCAGACCCCCCCCCATCCCCCACCTAAACCTACTCGCCCTACCCCCATTACCCCTAATCCACCCAGCCCTCTCCCCCAGCCAACTCACATTGGTGTCTCTCGCGATTCGTGCTTCTTCGCCTCTCGCACTCGATCTCTCATGGACTCCCACTGGCGGGGTCGAGGAAGCTCGGATTCAAGATTGCACTCGACGAATGTCTATTCACAACATTAGTGCTTGCCTCAAGGCATATCACGGCGATTCATTCGCCAATCAAATATAAAGCGGTGCCAGTGAAGAAGGAGTTCATGAAGGACGCCATCGGACTTGTTCCGTTGACGACAACCATATCGCTCAAGAAGGCGACGGATGAGATCAATATTGGCAACGTTTGCCTTAGGAAGTATACCGACCCTGCCAAGCATACCGATTACAACGTCGCGTTGATGGCCGCTGGCGGGCTCAGGCTCAAGCGTGAAGAGGGTGGGACTGGCATTGGTGGTCTGAAGCGCGCGCCAGATCAGTACGGGGTGCCTTTCTGGTTGGTCGGCGTGCGCACCGCGAAGGAGAAGCCAAACTTGGCTGTGACATTTGTGACCGCCACGAACGGCATTAAGGTTCCCATCCTCAAAAACACGGTCGAGCTCAAGAGCGGCGACAGGTTGCGCATGTCCGAGGACACAGCAAAGGCGCTTGCAAGGAAAGTTGCGTTGTCCGACGCCACGCCCGCCAAGCCCGCCAAGAAAAAAGCAAAGACGCAGTGAGCCGCCCATTCGCCGCATTGCCGCGGCATTACGCAGGGCGCTGGCGTCGCCCTCCGTATATGAACGCACCTTGTTGGATGGCGAAGACATACTGAAATGCTTCATCCTGCGATGCGTCATCACACCATCGCATCGCATCATTCTGCGATGCAGCATCGCGCCAGTCTGCGACATCGCCGCAACGCACCATAGCCGTTCTGGCTCAATCGCTGGGGTATCACGCGGCCCACGCTGCCCCGCACGTCTGCATGTCAGTGTCTGTTTCCATGCGCACGGTGATCGAGGGCGGCGGGCTCAAGGAGCCGCGGATGCCGCGGACTATTGTCCATAGCGGAGGTATTGCGTTCATCGAGGTATCCCTGATGGACAGGAGGCTCTTCCAGTTCGTCGACATCCAGAACCCAACACACAGGAACGCCCCATTTGCCCAAAATCATTTCTTCAAAGAGTTGAAGGCCCTCCGAAACGCTGCATCGGACATTGCGATATGGGAGTACATGAAATCGCGAGACCCATTGCTGTCGGACCAGTCTGACCAAGACAAACTGATCAAGGCCTACAAGAAGAACATCGACGAGAGTGCTATGCCAACATACGTTACGGTTCAGTTGCCAGAGGTTGAATTTAATGGTGGCGGCGTGGCCTTGAAGTGCGAGCCGATCGCAGTAAGATGCATATTTTCTGCATCAGCGATTAGCAAAGTACATGTGGAATGTACAGAGAGCGTACTGACTTACATCAGATGTGCTGCGCTGAAAGCAGCAGAGGACGATGGCACCGAGAAACAAAAGAGAGGACTGAGCGGAGTGCCAGGGGTCCGATGCGACAAGCGTCGCAGGGTAGTGTATGTCGTTGTGAAGTCCCACAACTCGTCAAGACGCATCTATCAAAAACCAGTGTAATGGAATGACACGTGTATTTTGCACTGCGCCCGCGAGCTACGCGACAAAGTGGTCGCGAAGTGCGAGGAGATAGAGGATCACGAGCCCGATGCCGATCTTCTCCATGGGCTGAATTGTGCCGAGCATGCCGAGGGGGGTGGACCCGAATATCAACAGGGCGATGGCGAAGACGACAATGTCGATGCTGCGGGTGATAGCGACGCCCAGGGCTGAGACGCCAGGCGCTGCGACGGGCACGCACAGCGCGCCCACCCTTTCGACCTCCTATTATTTTCCCTACGTCGGGCCCGTCGTCCTTCCACCCGCGGGGGGGGGGGGGGTGAGGGGGTGGGGAGGGAGGGGTACGGCCGACCAGGAGGGGATACCGGTATCCGACCTCATACCCTTCTCTTTCTTTCATATCATCTTGTGACCTTCCAGGGCCCTCCTCCCTCCTTTTCCTCTCACTCCACTTCCTTCTCCTCCTCCTCTCCTCTCCTCCTGCCTCTCCCTGCTCCTGCTCCTCCTCCTCCTCCTGCCTCTCACTGTCACTGCTCCTGCTCCTCCTCCTCCTTCCTCCTCCTCCCCCCCTTCGCCTCCCCCTCCTTTTCTTCCTTCAGCCTGGTTTTCGGGGTCTCCAGACCTTGGGATTTTTAAAAATTTTAAAAAATTTTAAAAAATTTAAAAAATTTAAAACACTTTTGAATTTTAAAATTTTTAAAATTTTTAAAAATTTAAAAGTTTGGGGGGTCCGGAGTTTCTGGGGGGTCCTGGCCGCCTGGTTTGCGGATTTCCCAGGCCCTGGGATGTTCAGAAATTTTAAAAATTTTGAAAAATTTTAAAAATTTAAAACACTTTTGAATTTTCAAAATTTTTAAAATTTTTAAAAATTTAAAAGTTTGGGAGATCCGGAGTTTCTGGGGGTCCTGGCCGCCTGGTTTGCGGATTTCCCAGGCCCTGGGATGTTTAGAAATTTAAAAATTTTTAAAAATTTTAGAAATTTAAAACACTTTTGAATTTTTAAAATTTTTAAAATTTTTTAAAAATTTAAAAGTTTGGGAGGTCCGGAGTTTCTGGGGGGTCCTGGCCGCCTGGTTTGCGGATTTCCCAGGCCCTGGGATGTTTAGAAAAGTGTTTTGAATTTTTAAAATTTTTAAAATTTTTAAAACACTTTTGAAATTTAAAACACTTTTGAAATTTTCAAAATTTTAAATTTTAAAATTTAAAAAGTTTCTGGGAGGTTTGGAGTTTTTGGGGGTCCTGGCCGCCTGGTTTGCAGATTTCCCAGGCGACTCCCCCCCAGGCGTGTAACGGTGCAGTTTAACAGAAACGGTCTTCAAGATTTTCTGCTACCTCGGGGAGGTTGGATTGGACCCCGACTCCGAACCCAACGCCGACGACGCCGCCGCCGCCGACGACGACGACGGCGGCGGCGGCAGCGGCGTGCGACGGTGTGGTGGCGGCGGAGGCGGGCAGCGGCGGCGGCGACGACGACGGACGACTACGGTCGATCGCGGCGGTGTCCGAATTCGTCCCGCGTGGCCCGGTCCGCCAACCGGGGACTCGAGCTTGCGGACTGGTAAGCCGCGACCGGAAGGTGCGCTGTCGGCACCCGGGGCCGCTACACCTCTCGTCGTCGCCGCCGCCGCCGTCGTGGTCGTCGTCGTCGTCGTCGTCGCCGTCCTCGTCGTCGTCGTCGTCGCCGCCGCCGCCGCCGTCGTCGTCGTTGCGGTCGTCGTCGTTGTGGATGTCGTCGTCGTGGTCGTCGTCGTCGTCGTCGTCGTCGTCGCGGTCGTCGTCGGCGGCGCCGTCGTCGTCGTTGCGGTCGTCGTCGTTGCGGATGTCGTCGTCGTCGTCGTCGTCGTCGTCGTCGTCGTCGTCGTCGTCGTCGTCGTCGCGGTCGTCGTCGGCGGCGCCGTCGTCGTCGTTGCGGTCGTCGTCGTTGCGGATGTCGTCGTCGTCGTCGTCGTCGTCGTCGTCGTCGTCGTCGTCGTCGTCGAGGTCGTCGGCGGCGTCGTCGTCGGCGGCGGCGGTGGCGGCGACGGCGGCGCCGTCGGCGGCGGCGGTGGCGGCGACGACGGCGGCGTCGGCGTCGGCGGCGGCGGCGACGGCGACGACGACGACCACGACCACGACCGGCGCAGCGCCAGGGCTTTCGGGACGAGGCAAGCAACTAAGGGCGATCCCCTAATATAATTAAATAAAAAAATATTATAAAATATAATAAAACGGAGGGCTTTTCGATTAGTCCGGTTCTCCCTAAATCGGGATGGAATTTTAGGGGGACCGGTCCCCCTAAAACCGGATGGAATTTTAGGGGGACCGGTTCCCCTAAAAATGGCCCCTATTTTAGGGTGACCGCCACCCTCGGCTGATGGCTCGAAATGTCCGTTCGGGCGCCCCGTATAGGCGCACTCTTGGAGTCAGCTTGGGGAGCCTCTTAGGCCGTTTTTGGATGGCGGCTATGGGCCGTCTTGGGGCCTTCTTTGGCCGTCTCCAGACATCGTTGAGACCTCTTGAGCCGTCTTGGAGCGATCTCGGGGGTGCATCTTGAGGTGTTTTGCAGGCCTCTTGGGAGAGGCATTTTAGAGATAGAGATCCCTATAAAACGGGGGGGGGGGGGGCATTTTCGATGGACCGGTCTCCCTAAAACGGGATGGGATTTTAGGGGGACCGGTCTCCCTAAAACGGGATGGGATTTTAGGGGGACCGGTCCCCCTAAAACCGGATGGGATTTTAGGGGGACCGGTCCCCCTAAAAATGGCCCTTATTTTAGGGTGACCGTCATCCTGGGCTGAGGGCTCGAAATGTCGGTTCGGGCGCCCCGTCTGGGCACACTCTTGGAGTCGGCTTGGGGAGCCTCTTAGGCCGTTTTGGAGGCGCCGGCATGGGCCGTCTTGGGGCCTTCTTTGGCCGTCTCAGAACCATCGTTGAGACCTCTTGAGCCGTCTTGGAGCGATCTTGGGGGTACCTCTTGAGGTGTTTTGCAGGTTTCTCGGGAGAGGCATTTTAGATAGGGCGATCCCTATAAAACGGAGGGCATTTTCGATGGACCGGTCTCCCTAAAACGGGATGGGATTTTAGGGGGACCGGCCCCCCTAAAATCGGATGGGATTTTAGGGGGACCGGTCCCCCTAAAAATGGCCCCTATTTTAGGGTGACCGCCGCCCTCGGCTGTTGAGTCCTTGTTAACCGAGGCCCCTCTTAAGCCGTCCCTGCTCCAGGGATGAAGCGGCCTGCTGCCGCCCCGCCCGCCGCTGCGGCCCCCGCTGCGGCCCCCGCGCCGCCGTGGAAGGTGGCGGGCCCTAGGTCCAGTCGGCGCTGCAACGATGAGTTGCGGACGTCCTACCAGAACCTCCTGAAGGAGGGAGGCGGATCCAAGCAGGACCGCTTCCGAGCCAGGGCTTGGCTTGCAAAGGACAAGGCCAAGCAGAAGCAGAGCAACAGCCACCTGGCCAAGGTGAGGCGCAGCCGGCAGAAGAAGACGCAGCAGGCCAAGAAGGCCCACGGACGCACTTCCTTCGGAGACCTCGGCCATGTTTTGGCCGCCCTGCTGCTCGCGCGCCTGGCCCTTGCGGGCCTGGTGGAGCAGACGTGGGCAAAGCTCACCCCGCGGCTGGAGGCAGCCCTACGGTTCACGCGCGCCCACCTCAGCGTCAAGCTTGGCGAGAAGAGCGCCGAGGCCTACAAGCTCCTGGCTTCGACGGCGCTCCCGCGGCGGGCGGCGATCGTGGCCGCCGTGGAGCACGGGCGCAACTCGGGCAAAGCCAAGGACCAACCAGCCACAACTGCGGGAAATTCATATCTTGCCTTTTCCGAAGGGGGGCATCGTCTTCGACGCCCGTATCGAGAGATGGTTGAATCGGTGGACTCTCTCGGTTTGGGCAAGTAGCGCGGCTCCCCCGGTTGTGGCTGGTCGGGAGGACATGGTGGAAGCTTTGCTGCAGCCCGGGTGTCCGCGGGATGCCATGGACAAGCTCTTCCCGAACCTGCGCAAGGTCAGCACGACACAAAACGTGGACGCTCTGTCCGTGACGAGCCTCCACGTGGCCTCCTACATGGAGAACGTGCTCTGGATCCTGAAGAAGGACGTCGATCTCGAGGAGGGCAAGCTGATCGGCTCGAAGACTGTGCTCCGATGCACGCGCGTGTGCTCGGCTGCCAGGCTTCTGGTTCCGCACGTGACGATCTGGCTCAAGCACCTGGGGTGCCTGGACCCAGAGGCGCACGGCGAGCTGGTGGCTCACGCGAAGGGACACTTGGGGACGAACTCACGGGAGTTCTTCGCCGGGGAGGCCGCCCGCCACGCGGTGGACGACGCCGCGCGCCTCTTGACGGAGCGCGCAAAAGAGACCACTCTGACCGACGAGGGCAAGGCCCGCTTCGGCACGGCCGAGAGCCTCGCCGAGGCCGCCGCGGACCCGATGAACCTCATCATCTGGGCCTGCCAGGCGCTGATCGTCCTCGGCAACGCTGCACTGCTCACTGACGAGGACCTCCCGCTGACGGAAAAGCCCAAGGGGTGGTCTCACTGGAGGTGGACCACCGCCGGCCGCGCGAGCAAGGGCCCGGAAAAGCTCGCCCCCCCAGAGGAAGGGCCCCGCGGCGACGAGGCGCTCGCGGAGAGCGACGACAGCGCCGAGGGCGTCAGCGCCGAGGGCGAGCCCGGGCGCCGGCCGCCCGGCGGCGGCCTCTGCGCCTACGCCGCAAGCCCGCTCTCCCAGAGAGGCCGCGAGCAGAGGCAGCCCGCCGCCCGGCGCAGGTGAGCTCCGCGAGCTCCGCTAACGCCCAGGACCGGCTCGCGCCCCCAGCGGGCGGCGACAGAAATTATCATCATCATCGTCTGCATCACCTACAGGAGCCCCCAGAGAATATTCGCGTCTGGTAACTTTCTCTGGAAGCCACTGGAGACTTTTCGGTGCATTTGTCGTCCGAACTGAGGCTTCCGCCCGCCGCCGCGCCTGCTGGGCCCGCCAGTGTCCACTCGGGGTATTTGGGATCACTTAATAAATTTTGACCGCCCGAGAACACCGCCGGGGGTCGCCCCCCGGCGGCACCAGGGGCCCCGGGGCCCGATAGTTGCGCACCGAACCACTTAGCATAAACAAGTCGTCCTTGCGCTTCTTCCTGACACCACGTGGTTCTCTCTGATGCCTTCAGGTTTCCCTTTGGTAGTTCCAGTGCCATCCGGGCGCTTCCGAGCCGCGATGACACGCGGTGGCTGCCTGGCCTCAATGTGTTCCAGAACAACAACAACAGAACAGTATCGGCTTGAGACCCGCGCGTCGCCTGCCGCGCGGATCCTAGCACCTCCTCCACGCCGCGCGCGGGCGCGCGATGTCGGGCGCGCCCGCCCCCCCGGCGCTCGCCGAGGGCAACGGCAGAGTGCCGCCGCCAAAGCCCCCCCCCAAGGCCTTGGCGGCTCATGCTCCAGCGGGCACGGCGCCCGCGCCGAAGCTTCCATCGGAGGTTCAGGGCTGCGCCTCTCAGGGCAAGGCGCCGCCGCCGAAGCCCCCCCCCAAGGGCAGGGCGGCTCGCGTCCCGGAGAGCACGGCGCCGCCGTCGAAGCCACCACCCCAGGCCCTGGTCGAGACCAGCGGGCAGCAGAGCGCCGCCGCCGCCGCAGCCGCCACGGCGACCCCTTGGAAAGCGCCGCCCCCCCTCAAGGCCTGCGCAGCTCGCGCCCTGGAGAACGCGGTAGCGCCGCGGCCGAAGCCACCGCCCAAGGCTTTTTTTTTTTCTTTTTCTTTTTTTTTTTTTTTTTTTTTTTTCTTTTTTTTTTTTTTTGTTTTTTTCGTTTTTTTTTTTTTTTTTATTTTTTTTTTTTTTTTTTATTTTTATTATTTTTTTTTTTTTTTTTTTTTCTTTTTTTTTTTTATTTTTTTTTTTTTTTTTTTTTTTTTTTTTTTTTTTTTTTTTTTTTCATTTGTTTTTTTTTTTTTTTTTTTTTTTTTTTTTTTTTTTTTTTTTTTTTTTTTTTTGATTTTATTTTTTTTATTTTTTTTTTTTTTTTTTTTTTTGTTTTGTTTTTTTTTTTTTTTTTTTTTTTTTTTTTTTTTTTTTATTTTTTTTTTTTTTTTTCTTTTTTTTTTTTTTTTTTTTCTTTTTTTTTTTTTTTTTTTTGATCTTTTTGTTTTTTTTTTTGTCTTTTTTTGTTTTTGTTTTTTTTTATTTTGATCGGGAAGGCGCCGCCGAAGGAGTGCGGCTGCTGCGCCCGCCTCCGCGCCGAGCTGGCCGAGGCTGGCGGGCCGCGCAATGTGGCGCGTTAATAGTCGGTTGGGGTATTGGGGCGGGGCAGGATTCGGTGGGGCGGCGCGGGGCGCGAGAGTATTCTTTTCCCCGACGAGGCCCTCAGCGACCGCGAGGTGAACGCGGACCTCCTCGAGTTCGAGGAGGGCGCGCACAGGCGGGCGCTGGCGGAGTGCGAGCGCCTGCGCGGGCTGCTCGCCGAAGCCAATGCGAAGGCAAAGGCGGCTGGTGAGCTGGCGGCGGCGATGAGCAGCATCTCGGGGATCCCGCTCCCTCAGGCTCGCGACACCAACGGGTCAACGGTTGGAGTGGTTAGCCTGGGCGAGCGGGATCCCGCAGGCGCCGCCGCTGCTGTGGCCGCCGCCGCCGCCGCCCCCGCGGAGGGCGCGCGCTTCGCGCGCGCGCGGGAGCCGGGGCCCGCCGCCGCCGCCGCTCGGGGGCGACGAGAGCTCGGACGAGAGCTTCTGAAGGCGCGGCCCGCCGCGCCCACCGCAGACATGGCCTGCTTGCGATTGCGAGTATATCTTCCGCGCCCGTGCGATATGCAGACCGCTCGTTTGTGCCGAGCGTTACGCCCCAATGCTGGCGCATGTGGTCTTCCTCTCCTTATCTAGGCTGGCTTCTGGCGTGGTTTTCCGGTTTTGCCTTTTTTCTGCGGCCCTGCTATATTCGTCCTCCTCCCTTCTCCTCTTCTCGCCAGTGCTTTTTTACTTCTGGGATGTTGCTGTACTTTCAGCCACTGATCAGTCTCTGCCGAGCATCGCCACGGATTGCACGTATTACTCGAGTGATGTTGTGGCCCCCATGTCCGATTCGTCTCCTCTGCTCTCCTCCTTCTTCTCCCGTAAGATGCGCTGGATAAAAAATGACACGCTGGCGCCGTGCTATGGCAATGCCTGCGCCATATTTTTGAAGCTTGCGTATCCCCTCCAGCCCGTCCAGCAACGACGCCCAGATGAGTTGCCCTGATCAGGGAAGTGGGGGGAGGGCATACAGAAAAACAAAGGGCTCGGGAAGCCTTCGTGCCCCCAAAGGGGGAAGATGGATGATGAAACGGAGGAGATGGTGGAGGGCACGGAGGAGGAGGAGGGGGAGGAGGCTGGGGGGGAGGAGACGGGAGGAAGAGGGAGGACGGAGAAGAGGTAAGAAGAGGCGGATAAGGACGAGGAGGGCGAGCAGAAGGGCAAGAGTCCGTCTGGATGCCCCCTCGGAGTCTCTTGGGATGTCTCTCAGGTGCTTCTCGGAGGCCTTTTGGATCGTCTTGGGGGCCTCTTGGCGGTCGTTAGGGCCTCTTGGAGCGTTTTCGGTGCCTCGGGGGAGCCTCTGGGGGGGGCCTCTGGGGGGCCGCTCGGGAGCCTCTGAGGGGGCTCTTGGGGCTTCCTGGGCGCCTTTTGGGGCCCTGCCAGGGCACTCTTGGGAGCCTTGGGGGCCTTTGGGAGGCTCCAAAGGGGGGGGCGGTGGGGTGGTGGAAGGGGGTGGGTGGGGGCGGTCGAGGGGGTGCGGAGGGGCGGGCCATGCTATTGCCACGCAGCTGCCATGTTATTGCCATGCGATTGGCTTGCAGCTGCCATACGATTGCCATGCGATTGCCATGCAGCTGCCATGCCGTTGGCATGCTGTTGCCATGCTGTTGCCACGCAGTTGCCATGCATCTGCCGCGCAGCCCCCTCGCTATTGCCATGCCGTTGCCTCGCTGTTGCCATGCCGTTGCCATGCTGCTGTCATGCTGTTGCCATGCAGTTGGCGGGCGACGGATACGCTGTTGGCGTGCTGTTGCCATGCTGGTTCCATGCCGTTGCCATGCCGTTGCCGCGCCGTTGCCGTGCCGTCGCTGTACTGTTGCCATGCAGTTGCCGGGCGTCTGCCCTTGCTGTTGCATATTGGTGAGTACCGCCACACACACGGGGGAGGGAATTCAAGGGGGTACAGTGGGGTGGACAGTGATGCAATGAGACAGCGTGACAAATGTCACGGAGTCGGTGCGCGGTCGATGCTTCAATGCTCCAGGCGGCCGGCGTTCAGATGAAGTGGCGGGCGATATCTTAGCACGGTCCACTGCGCTTGTCCACGCCGCCATGCGGCGCTACCAGAAGGGAAACTACGGTATTGAGGATTGGCTCCGTTTCCCATCCCTCCCATGAGTCCTGTTGCTTTGTTTTGTCGACGGTTATCTTCCATATTTGCCCGCATTCGGTCGTTGATTGGGTGCGGATTAGCAGCTCGGAGCGCACAAAAGGAGGAGAGGAGGAGGAGATGAGGAGGACGATGACGACGACCGCGACGACTACGACGACCACGACGACCACGACGTCCAGGACGACGTCGACACGACGACGACCCCGACGACCACGACGGCGGCGAGGAGGAGGACGAGGGCTGGGCGGCCGTCTCGGCTCGAGCACCGCAGGGCGAGGTACCAGGATCATCCATCGAGGGGGCGAGGGGGGCACCGCGGCCATGGAGACCATGGCCGCGGTGCCCCCCTACGTGGAGACCAGGAGGTTGCGCACGCTCGGCGCTGGAAGCTTCGGCAGCGTGGTCCTCGCGCGCGAACCCGGTGACGGCGCGTGCGGTCGCGGCGTCGACGTAGCGCTGAAAGTTTCCAGGGCGGGCGGGACTTCGAGGCAGGACATCCTGTGGGAGGCAGCTTGCCTGCGCACAGTGGCGCACGCCAACGTCCTTAGGCTCATCGACGTCCGTGCCTCGACGCCGGGCGGGGAGCGCGACCCCGACGACCTGCCTATCCTCGTGTTCCCGCCAGCGGACTTGGACCTCCAGACCTTCCTCGGCAGGAGGCCTGGCGGCGTCCTGCCGCCCGAGCTGGCTCGCAGGATGATGCGGCAGCTCGCAGCTGCCCTGGCTCACGTCCATGCTCACAACATCATCCACCGAGACGTGAAGCCAGAGAACTGCTTGATCTTCTTGGCCAGCGAGGTCCACGGGGAGTTCTTGGGGCCTTCGCTGGCGTTGGCGGATTTTGGCACGGCTCGGCGTTGGTCTGGGGACCCGCGCCTGCGCCTCCGCAACAAAACCCGCGCCCCGAAGAGGGAGGAGCCCATGACGGCTTTGGTGTGCACCTGCTGGTACAGGCCTCCAGAGCTCTGGGCGGCAACCATGGGCGAACTCGAGATGGACCAGGAGTGCGAGGAGACGACGCCCTACGGCCCCAGCCTGGACGTCTGGTCGTTCGGGGCCGTCGTCTACCAGGTGCTGTCAGGGGTGACCCTCGTTCGTCGAGCGGGGAACGGCGCAGAGATGGCGCGGGCAGTGGCGGACGTCATCGGCGCGGCCCCGGCGAAGGGCCCTTCTGCCTTGACGTGCACTCGGAACCCGCGGTGGCAGAGCTGGGCGCCTGCAGCGATGTCAGCTGTCCCGAGCAGGCCGCTGCCCGAGTCAGGTGCTGAGTGGGATTTGGTGCGGACGTGCCTCCGGTGGGACCCTGCTGCTCGCGTGACGATGTCGTCCGGGATGCTGTGCGCGTGGTTCGGAGGGCGAGTCGCTACTCCAGAGGCGGCGCCGACGTCCGAGCCAGAACCGCGCGCTGATGCCTCGACGCTCAGCTCGACGCCGACGGCGCAGACACCCACGGAGATCGCGCGCGCGTGGTTCGAGCCTGACCTCTCGCCTCCTAAGAAGTTCGCTTCGGAGGTCAAGTGCCGTTGCAAGGGGCATTGCCGCGTGTACAGCCATCGCAAGAGTGGCGAGTGCAACTGCACCGAGCTTGTCGTCGGCACTGGCTACTGCGCCACGTGCGTATGCGTCGTCGCGGGGTGCGGTCGCCCCAGGCTCAAGTCCGACTACTGCAGCCATCATAAGAGAGTGTTGGACGCGGCTCCTCTCCGCGTGCAGCTGGCCGTGGCTGCAGTTCCAGTCACGCCCCTGATGATGCCGTGCGACGTCGAGGATTTCGTCGCCACCAGCGTCATCCTCCAAGACGACGTCGCTATGCTCATCTTGGTGGCTGCTATCAAGGAGCCCTTGGCAGTGGGAGCGCTGGTGGCGATGGGCCCATTTTCGCATCATTTTCCATTACAATTACGGTGGGGGCATTGGATAAGGAATGCCCTCCCGAGGGGCCAGACCCTAGAGGATTCCTTATCTGATGAGGGCGGTGGCGGTACCCATGGTCGATCCACAATTGGAGTTCCACTGGGTTCCAGACCCTGGATTCCTTATCTAAGGTTTCCTTATCCAATGCCTCCACCGTACCATAAGTTGGAGGGGGAGAGGGGGAGGAGGAGGTGGAGGACCCCCCTCCTCCCCCCTCCCCCTTCCCCCTCCGACTGATTGTCGTGGTAGTGGAAAATGGGCCCATCAGGTGGAGGCTTGGGAGCAGCTGCCCGCGCAATACTCGGGCTCAGACTTGCGATCGGCAATCTTGCGCGCACTCGCGGTGGCGGACGGAGCCCCCCATGCTGCGCAGCTGACCCAGCTGCATCGCCAAGGAGTGCAGCGGTTCTTCGGCCTCATCACGACTGCCTCGAACTTAGGGGTCATCCAGAGGGCGAAGAAGACGGACGACGTCCGCCCCGAGCAGCAGGCGTACCGCCTCGGCTCGATGAAGACCTTGTACGTCGTGCGCGCCCCGTCGGAGAGCTTGTGCGACAAGTTCCTGGAGGCCACTCGCGAGGAGGAGCGCTCCTTGGCAGCGCCCCCGGCCGCAGGCGCCTCGAAGCCCAGCGCCCTCGACGCAGGTGCCTCGACGCCCTGCGTCCTCGACGACCTAGTCGACTACGGATCTCGGCGGGCGAAGGCGGCGTTGCGGCGGATCGGCACCAAGAGCGGAGCCTTGCCCTTCCACGCTGAGGACGCCAGCGGGTACTGCATCGACTGGCTCACGAGGAAGATGGTGGCCGCCCGCCTCATCCGGCAGAACCTGCACCAGAGCGACGACTGGAGCCGCGTGGACAAGGCCTCGCTGCAGAGCATGAGCGCGGACTCGAAGGAGAACCTCGAGAGTGTCCCCGACGCGTGGACGGCCTCCGAGATATCGTCTTTCTTCTCTGGTCGCGCAGACTGGGGTCTGTTCGCCAGCGCGTTTCCTTGCCTCTGGGGGGAGGTCGCGGATGAGCTGATCAAGAACGGGGCCAGCGATTACGACCGCGCCCAAGCGATCCAGCTCATCAAGTCTGACACGTTCCTGCAGGTCGTGCGGACCTTTCGGGAGACCGAGGGCATCGCTCCCCATCCTATGGTCGCTTACGAGCTCGCGCAGAAGCAGTCCGAGAAGCTCGCCCTCGCCTGCGAACTCGCCCTGGAGTCACCGCGTGCCTCGATGCCGCGGAAAAAGTTGAAGGCTTAGAGCGCCCGGGTGGCCCGTGCTACGGCGATTCTGATATGCGCCGCGGAGCGGGGTCCGCGGACAGGGGTCGATTCGCCAGCCGTCACGAGGTAAAAAAAACCTTCTCGCTCCTCCTCTTGCTCCTCCTCCTTCTCCCCTCCTTTCTCCCTCCCGCTCTGGCCGTGCCGTTGCCTCGCCCAGGCCGTGCCGTGGCCATGCCCAGGCAGCGCCGTTGCCATGCCCAGGCCGTGCCGTTACTATGCCCAGGCCGTGCCGTTGCCATGCTAAGGCCGTGCAGTTGCCATGCCCAGGCCGCGCCGTTGCCATGCCCAGGCCGAGCCGTTGCCATGCCCAGGCCGTGCCGTTACCATGCCCAGGCCGCGCCGTTGCCGTGCCCAGGCCGCGCCGTTGCCATGCCCAGGCCGCGCCGCTGCCATGCCCACGCCGCGCCGTTGCCATGCCCAGGCCGTGCCGTTGCCATGCCCAGGCCGTGCCGTTGCCATGCCCAGGCCGAGCCGTTGCCATGCCCAGGCCGCGCCGTTGCCATGCCCAGGCCGTGCCGTTGCCATGCCCAGGCCGTGCCGTTGCCATGCCCAGGCCGTGCCGTTGCCATGCACAGGCCGTGCCGTTTGCCATGCCGCATGGCCGCGCCGTTGCCATGCCCATCCGCGCCGATTGCCATGCCCAGGCCCGTGCCGTTGCCATCCCAGGCCGGTGCAGTTTGCATGCCCAGGCCGGGCCGTTGCCATGCCCAGGCCGTGGCGTTGCCATGCCCCATGCCGTGCCTTGCGCATGCCCAGCCGTGCGTTGCCATGCCAGCCCGTGCCGTTGCCATGCCAGGCCGTGCCGTTGCCCATGCCCAGGCCATGCCGTTGCCATGCCCAGGCCGCGCGTGCCATGCCCAGGCCGCGTCGTTGCCATTATGCCCAAGGCCGTGCCGTTGCCATGCCCGTCTGCGATGTTGCCACGCTTCATGCCGAGGCCGTTGCCATGCCCTGTCCGCGCCGTTGCATGCCCTGGCCGTGCCGTTGCCAGCCCAGGCCGCGCCGTTGCATGCCCCATGCCTAGGCCGCGACGTTGCCATGCTCAGGCCGCGCCGTTGCCATGCCCAGCGTGCCGTTGCCATGCCCAGGCCGTGCCATTGTCATGCCCAGGCCGCGCCGTTGCCATGCCCAGGCCGTGCCGTTGCCATGCCCAGGCCGTGCCGTTGCCACGATCAGGCCGTGCTGTTGCCATGCCCAGGCCGTGCCGTCGCCATGCCCAGGCCGTGCCGTTGCCATGCCCAGGCCGTGCCGTTTGCCATGCCCATGCCGTGCCGTTGCCGCGCTGAGGCCGCGCCGTTGTTTTGCCCAGGCCGCGCCGTGGCCTCTCCCAGGCCGTGCCGTTGCCATGCTCAGGCCGTGACGTTGCCATGCCCAGGCCGCGCCGTTGCCGGGCCCAGGCCGCGCCGTTGCCTTGCCCAGGCCGTGCCGTTGCCCTGCCCAGGCCGCTCCGTTGCCATCATGCTCAGGCCGTGCCGTTGCCATGCTCAGGCCGTGCCGTTGCCATGCCGAGGCCGCGCCGTTGCCATGCCCAGGCCGTGCCGTTGCCATGCCCAGGCCGTGCCGTTGCCATGCCCAGGCCGCGCCGTCGCCATGCCCAGGCCGAGCCGTTGCCATGCCCAGGCCGCGCCGTTGCCATGCCCGGGCCGCGCCGTTGCCATGCCCAGGCCGTGCCGTTGCCATGCCCAGGCCGCGCCGTTGCAGTGCCCACGCCGTGCCGTTGCCATGCCCAGGCCGTGACGTTGCCATGCCCAGGCCGTGCCGTTGCCATACCCAGGCCGTGCCGTTGCCATGCTCTGGCCGTGCCGTTGCCATGCCCAGGCCGTGCCGTCGCCATGCCCAGGCCGTGCCGTTGCCATGCCCTGGCCGTGCCGCTGCCCTGCCCAGGCCTCCTCTCCGGGAGTTGGCAGAGGATGAGTAGGAACAGGAGGAGGAATTCGAGCAGGGGCAGGATCCGCAGCGAGAGGGCGCCATATACTCGCCCGTCCAGCGGCGATGCCAGGACGAGTCGTCCTGATCGGGGGGGACAGGGTAGGGGGCGCGCAGAGGAACGGAGGGCCAGGAAAACGCCATATTCCCAGAGATGGAAGACGGAGGAGGACCTAGAGGAGAAGGAGGAGGAGGCTGATGAGGAGGGTACCGAAGAGCTGTAGGAGGAGGAGAGGGAGGAGGGGGCAGGGGGAGGAGGGAGGGGGGAGGAGAAGGACAAGGCGGACGACGAAGAGGAGTTGGAGGAAGAGGGGGGAGGAGCGGAGGGCGAGGCGTCCGGGATTTTGGGGTGGAAACTTTGTTACAGGACGAGTACACCGTTAGCTACGGCACCCACACGCGCAAGCTCTGGGGTCATGCAGGCGGGGTCGCCTTCGTGACAGAGTGCAGGGCAATTCTAGGGTCGCTCGGCGGGGTGGTTAGAGACATCTCAGACCGCATGGCAGCGGAGATTGGGCGAGAAGATCTCCAGGCTGCTTTCGTCGCCTTCGACCTCAGCGCATGGAGATGCGCGATCCGCAGGGCCCAGGGCGACCCCGTCGATGCCTCGATGCTCGACGCTCGCTATTCTCTGGCCGAGCTACGCGCGGCAGCCAAGCGGCTGTGCAAGGCGTTCCTCGGCATCGACGACGAAGGGGTGGGCCCTGAGTGGGCGCGCGTGGTGCGACTCGCTCTGCAGCAGCGAGCTCGCATGAGGATCGGGCCCCGCCGCGCGCCCTCGGAATACGCGCGCGCGGCTGCCTGGGACGTCGTCGAGCCGCTTCCAGTCGACAACAGGATGGTCTGGCGTCTCCTGCTGGACGGAGGCGGCGTCCCCGACAGGCTACGGCCAGCGGTGCGCGCGTACTTCGGGGCCCTCGACGGCACGGGGAGCGTGGAGCGCGGGCTGGGGCGCGACAAGCGCGTTGTCGTGGAGCCTCACGTCGGGAGTCTGAGGCCCTCGGCAGATATCGAGGAGGAGAACTCCAAGTGTCTCGAGCTGCACAGGGACGGCCCCAGGCGTGAGGAAGATCTGTTCGTCCGCTGTGCCGAGCAGCACGTCCTGCTCCTCACAGAGTTCTCGCGAGCCTGCGCGGCGATGTGGCTGGAGACGCACGGGCGTAGGTTCGGCGCGAATTCCAAGGTCAGGAAGAACAAGGGCTGCGAGCAACATGTGCGTCTAGGCCAGCAGACGGACGCGGCCCTTCGACGAGGGCTGCGGTCCTGCTACGCCGAGATTGCCAAGGAAGCAAACGCTTCTAGCAGCGCCCCTGGAGACGCGCTTCGGCCCAACATACTGGGGGAGCTTCGGAAGGCCACCCTGAAGAAGATCGGGGGGACGCAGGAGCAATCGACTGTCACAAAGGGGGTCAAGAGATACCGACAGCTCACCGAGACGAAGTCCCGTGAGAAAGCGAAGCGCAGGGCCGCGGCTGGAGTTTGGGCTGGCTGGGCCCTCGATCGGCCTGTGATGAGACTTGGCGGCGCCGCTGCCGTGCGCGCGGCCTCCAGGTGCGCCGCTGAACACGCCGCACAGGCGAGGAAATGGTTGGCGCGCGCTCGCGCCCCAAGAGGGTCGGCGGAGGGCAAGCAGGTGCCTCGACGCTCTGCGGCCCCGTGCGGGGCGGCGAGGCCCGTCAGCGCGGGGGGCGCGGCGCCCCGGCCTCCCGCGTGCCCAGCGCCGCGATCGAGCACCGTGATGACCTTGCCTTCCTTGAGCACGATGAGGTCGGAGGCCGCTCTCGCCGTGAAGAGCAAGTTGCAGGATGGCCCCCGCCCAGAAGATCTCCGCAAGTGGGTCGTCGCAGTCGCCTACGGGAAGCCCGTCCTGGTGGATGGCGGCGTCGGGCCGGTCGAGCGCTTCCGCTGTCAGCCTGCCGTCGGCCGCGCGCAGGACGTGCAGTTCACGCAGAACTTTGCCAGGGCCCACCCCGAGCTCGCCAAGATCACTTCGGCTATCGCGGGGGGCGATGGTTCGTCATGGCGCGTGCGGCCCGTGGGTGCTTCAAGCCGCAACGCGTGGGTGATCGACTCCTCTGCGACCTTCGCCCGCATGCTCCGCTCCATGATCGCCAGGGCCTGAGGCCGCGCGCGGGGCGGTCGCTGCGCGCCTCGACGCGGCAGGGCGGCCACCCTGCACTGTCGCGCCGCCGGCTGTGCGCCGCGTGCTTCGACGCCGCGGGGGCGCGGAGGACTTCGGGGGGGCGGTCGGGGGCGGGCTCGCCCGCGGGGAGGGCGCCTGCAGACGACCATTGGCGGCCAGCAGGAACGCCAAAGAGAAAAAATCTTGACGCTTCGCGTATCCCCGTCAGCCCATCCAGAGACGCTTACCAGATGAGTTGGTTAATCAGGGGCGCCTGGAAGCACGCGGTCGCACGGCCATTTTGGAAGCGTCAAAATTTGGCGGGCAGTACCCTGGGCCAGAAAAGAAGGATCATATATAGCTTCGCGCAGGGAATTTTAAGAAAGAAATCGGTGCAAGATGCGCCATGGTGTTCCCTGTGGTAAGCGCCTCTGGCACAGGCTGCTGCATGTACGATTCGACGCCAGTGTTGCGCAGATTGACGTCGCCTCCCGATGGACTTCCTTGATGCTGTTGCTACTGTTGCTGATGCCAGTGCTGCTGCTATTGCTGGTGGCGGTGGTGGTGGTGCTGCTTGTGCTGCTGCTTGCGGTGCTCCTGCTGGTGGCGGTGCTGCTGCTGGGGAAGTCTCGGGGGGTAGGGGGAGGGAGAGGAGGAGGAGGGGGATGAACAAAAGGAGAAGGAGGAGGGGGAGGAGGAGGAGCAGACATGCGGCACGAGGGGGATGAAGAGGAGGAGGGAGGCGGCAGGAAGGGAGGAAGGAAGGAGCGGATGATGATAAGGAGTATGACAGGTTGGGCTTTGGGGATATGTTGCGGTGATGTTTTTTCGAGGACTCGTACTGCCATCTTGGGGTCCTCTTGGGATCCTATTGGGGCCCTCTTGGAGCCCTCTTGGGGTTCTCTTGCGGGGTATCCCAGCACTCTTGGGGCTCTTTTTTTTTTGGGGGGGGGTCTGGGAGGCCTCTTGGGGCCGTCTCGGGCCCCATTGTTCGATAAGAGGGGGGGTCTTAATTCCCGTCGCTCCCTCGGAGGCTCAAAAATGCCGTCTTGGGGCATTCTTGGGCCGCTCTTGGAACGCTCTCGTGCGCTCTTGGGGCCGTCTTGGGGCTCTCTTGGGCCCCTCTTGGGGCTCTCTTGGGCCGTCTTGGGGCCATCTTGAGGCCTCAAGAGCCCATCCGAGGCGAAACTGCGAGAAGCCAGGCAGTTACCTCGCAGCATGTTCGCAGATCCCTCGCCGATGATATGCTGCTGCCGTCCGTGCTCGTGCAGTTGCCGCGCGGATGCCTCGCTGTCGCCGCGCGATTGCCCTGCCATTCACTACGCCCAACGTGCAACCCCGCATTTCGCGTCGTTCCGTCGAGCATTTCTTGCGCGCGACTGTCTGCCTAGCATGCGTGACTCCCGACTTCTTGCGAGAATTACTTTCTGCCGCGCAGTTGTCGCGCTACTGCTATGCAGTTCCCGAGCAATCGCCATGAGCATGCCATGCTGCTGCCGTTATGTAGCCACGTCGTTTTCGCGCAGCTGCCGCGCATTTGCCGCGCCCAGCGTTCGGCTCGCCGCGGCCGTTCTGGATCCCAGCCCCGCCCACAGCCCCGCGACGACCGCCGCGGCGACTCTTGCCCCCCGATGGCGAAGCGCGGCGGGACTCCTGGCCGCTCCTCGCTCGGGGCCGCGCCGCCCGCAAAGGTCGCCAAGGCCGCCGCGCCCGCCGGTGCCTCGACGCCCAGTCCGAAGGGCGGTCGCCCCGAGAAACCTCCAGCGCCCGCCGCCCAGATTCCGAGGAAGGTGCCTCCAGGCGCCCCTGCGGGCGTCGAGGCGCCGCCGCTGCCGGAACTCCCCGTCGGGGCGGAGGCGGCCAATTACAGCGAGGAGAAGACTGAGACCTTGATGCGAGCCGTCGTCGCTTACAACAGGTACCACGTTCGGCGGGTCATGAGGGAGGACTCAAGGTGGTTCAAAGGATGGCTGGACCGGCCCGTGCACGAGCACCAGCCCCTCACCATCAGGAGGCCCGATTCCGAAGACGACCTGCTCACGTACGTCAGCCCGTGGAAGAGGGCCGAGGCCATCATCTCGTTCAACGGAACGGGCACGTACAAGGGGAGCGGCAACGTGTTCTGGTTGGACCCTTTCGTAGGGTCGTCCACGAAGATGCGCTCCATTGCAGGGGGCCCGCCGCTCTACCCAGCGTGCCTCGACGCCGCTGAGCAGTACGCCCTGGGCAGGATCCTGCAGGAAGGATTGGCTCGGGGGGCGGTGAGCGCAGCGCACGAGGCCAGGATCAAATTCCCCCACGTGTTCACCGCATTCAGCTGGAACCTGGGCTCGTACGACGCAGACCACTTCGACTCCTCTCTGCCGCTGGTCTGTGGTCACGTGGCCCTGTGGGGCTTCCATATTTCTTTGATGAAGGCCCTCGGGCGCGGTGACGTGGCTTCTGTGGCGGCGTTGGTCCAGGCCGCCCTCTGCGCGCCCATCGAGGGCGTCATCGTGGAGTCCGAGGAGAGGCTGTCCATGCTCTCCATGGCGACGAGCGACGCCGCCCGCAATCAGTACGATTACCTGAAGAATTCTTTCCCCGCGTTCGCTCGCAAGCTCATGGTGGCCCTGGGCGGCGGCCCGCCTGAAGGGACAGCGGCCAGGCTCGCGTTCTGCGCCCAGAAAGGCATCCGCTACAACGGCGCCGTCGTGCACAGGAGCATGCTCTGCGCGGCGCAGAACTGCCGCGATAGGCTCGACGACAGGGCGCTCCGCACCCTGCGCTACATAGAGAGTAGGAGTGGCTCGAGCAAGTGCGACCTCACCTCGAACTTCACCACCCTGAACCGCATCCTGCAGGTCTGCGCGAAGGAGGTCCACAAGGGCAACGCCGCCATGTGGGGCACCGTGACGGCCACCGATCTCGTCAACCACGTCTTGGACTACATCGCCTGGGCCCTCGACCACGGCCTGGTCGAAGGAGGTGGAGTGACAACCTCGTGGCTGGAGAAGAAGAAGAAGGACAGCGACGAAGCAGGGGCGATGAGGATGACACTGGCGAAGATCTACGTGCGCGTCTTCGTCCACTCCCTGGTGGACGACCTCCCTGACTCCAGCAGCGCGAAGCAGGAGTTCCTCCGCGTCTTGCCTCACTTCTCGAGCTACGCTGTCTTCGGCAGGACCTTCGGCGCCGCGGCTAGGGGTGCTTCGCCGCCCGCGGGCGGCGAGGGTGAGGGGGAGACCGACACGGCGGGCCAAAGTGGGGTGCTGGTCGACGACCCCTTCGGGAAGATGAAGGCGCAGACCTCCGGGGCGGCCGTGAAGCTGCTCGAGTTCTTCTTCGACCTCTTCAGCCAGAATTTCGACGACAGCCTCCGCGAGTTCCTGACCGCGGACGCCAACGTGAATCAGGCCGTGTGCCAGGTCAAATGGGAGGAGTGGTCGCAACCAGACCTCGTGGAGATCAGGGGTGCACTGGGCCTGCACAGGATGCCTGTGCCAGCCTGCGAGGGCTCTGACGCGCCCGCTGCCTCGACGCGCGGGCTGAGGCGGAGCCTCTCAGCGGCAGGCGACGACGGGCCGGACGACGAGGACGCCAACGACCGCGAGAAGGAGATCGCCCAGGAGCGCGCGGAGGCGTGGAACCAGGCGCAGGCGCTCCGCAGCAAGTGGCTGACGCCTTCGTTCATGAAGGCCGACAGGATGTCCAAGGATAACCTCGACACGTGGTGGGAGACACAGACAGCAGCGCTCCAGTTCCAGGGGGACCCCGGCAAGTCGCATCGCGTCTTCGTGTTGTCGGGGGAGAGGTGGGCCTACGAGACGGGCGCGGCACCGTGGGCGGACGAGCCCCCGTCGCCAGCTTCCTTGCGCGTGGCACTGGACTGGCTCTTGGATCGGCAGGGCCCCTGCGACACGCTCCTCGTCTTCGACGGCCGCTCCTCCTCGATCCGCGCGACCATGCAGGAGAATATGAAGAACGCTCGAAACGTCAGCGACGTCTGGGTCGTTTACCAGCCGAAGAGGGAGGCTGGAGGGCGCAGGGTCGTATTCGGGTCCAGGAACCGCGAGGTCGGGTGGGTCAGCTTCCCCGTCCCAGGCGCCGACGTCCCGACGCAGGAGCGCAAGGCCGCGCGCTCCGCAGGCAACGAGTGGGAGTCGACCACCTTCTCGTCGACGTTCTCGAGCATGGTCCCCATGGCGTGGGGGCAGCTGCCTTGCATTGCTCTCGCCGACAAGGCGAAGATCATCGGGGCCAGGGCACCCGTGCCCCCGAGCAAGATTTTCGACTCGGACCTCGGTTGCCCGCTGTGCTGGCAGGAGGTGAAGTCGAAAGACCTCTGGAGCGCCCTGCTCCTGGCCACGAAGGCAGACTTCGTGGTGGACTTGGGCGTCGGCGGCGGCATCACGGCACGGTCGTGCCTCGCTCTCGGCATCCCCTGGGTCGGCCTCTGCTGGAATCAGGTGCACGCCCAATGGCTCCTCAACGTCGCCGACCGCTGGACGTTGGAGGAGATTGTCAGCAAACAGTCCCCCCTGCACGAGCAGGACTTGGCGAAGCTCGTGCGCGTGCATTTCTCGGACGTGCTGCAGCAGCTCCAGGACCGCGAGCGCGTGGCCGGAGCAGACGCGGAGCACGTGGAGGGCGAGGGGCAGGGGAAGGCGTAGGAGGAGCGGAGCCTGACCCAGAGCCTCGACGCCTGGGGGGCCCGAGGCTCCGTCTGCGATTCCGAGAAACCCCCGCGCTCTCGCAGGGAGTCGGCTCCGATGATTTTCTTTCGAGCGCCTCCAGCCGCGTCTTGCGAGAGATTCCCCGAGCGATTCGACCCGCGCAGGGTCCGCGTCCGCGAAGGAAAAATCTTGAAGAGGAGGGGGCAAACGGTGACGGAGGAGGGGGAGGAGGGGGGAGAGGGAGGAGCAGGGATGCGGCACGAGGAGGGGGAGGAGCAGGGATGCGATGTAGCAGCGCAGTTGTTTTTTTTTCCGCTGCTGCGCCGTCGCCGCGCTGTTGCCTCGCGGTTTCCGTGACGTTGTCCCCGCCATTGCCATGCGATTGTTGGACGGTGGCCATTGTGTCGCCACGTTGTTGCCATGCGGGCGCCGCGCCGCTGCCATGCTGATCAATTGCAGTTCCCATGCTGTTGCCTTGCCGTCGCCATGCCGGTGCCATGCTGCGTCCGAGCTGCTGCCATGCTAGTGCCATGCTCTTGCCATGCCGCTGCCATGCTATTGCCATGCGCATGCCATGCTGTTGCCATGCCCTGGCCGCGTTGTTGCCATGCATGTTGCCGTGCCTCTGCCATGCAGTTGCCACGTTGTTGCCATGATGTTGCCATGTTGCTGCCGAGCGGTTGCCCAGCTGCTGCCATGCTGTGCCCGCGCTGCTGCCGTGCTGTCGCCGTGCCGTTCCCATGCCGTCGCCATGCTGTCTCCGTGCTGCTGGCATGCTGGTGCCATGCTTTTGCTTTTCTGCTGCCATGCTTCCGCCATGCTGCTGTCATGCTGCTGCCGCGCTGTAGCCAGACATTGCCGCGCCGATTCCACGCCGTTGCCGCGCCGTTGCCGTGCTGTCTGCATGCTCTTGCCGAGCTGTTGCCATGCTCTTGCCATGCTCTGGCCTTGCTTTTGCCGCGCTGTTGCCGCGCCGTTGCCGTGCCGATCCCATGCTGCTGCCGTGATGTCGCCATGCTGCTGCCATGCTGATGCCAGGCTGTTGCAATGCCGTTCCCGCGCCATGGCCGCGCTGATGCCGCGCCGTGACCCTGCCGCGGCCACGCTGTCGCCATGCCTGAGCCATGCCGTCGCCACGCGGTGGCCGCACTTCTGCCATGCCATGGCTATCGCCGTGCCGTCGCCATGCCATCGCCGTTCCATCGCAACCACAGTGCGGGACGACGTGCGGGATGACTCCTGGGGCGATCTGGGAAGGTCCTCTCGGGAAGGCGCCGGCTTGCGCAAGTCAGGGGTGTATTTTTTCAGCAATCTCCAGAAAAATTACACCCCTGACTTGCGCAAGTCAGGGATGTAATTTTTCAAGAACTTGCTGAAAAAATACACCCCTGACTTGCGCAAGTCAGAGGTGTAAATTTTCAGACAGTTCCTCAAAAAATACACCCTTGACTTGCGCGAGTCCGCGCCTCCGTCTTGCTACTGCCGTGCTGCAGCCGTGCCGACGCCATGCTCTTGCCACGCTGCTGCCGTCCTATGGCCAGCAGTCGCCGCAGCGTCGGCGTGCGGCGCCAGCGTCGCGCGAGAGCCGCGCTGTTGCCATGCTTTCCCCGAGCTGTCATCGCGCCGCTCCAGCGCCATCTCAGCGCTGTCGCCGAGCAAGCGCCTTGCCGCCGCCCGGCCGTTGCCTCGCATGCGCCGCGCTACTGCCCAGCAGTTGCCGCGCAGTTGCCACGCTGTTGCCGTGCTGTTGCCACGCTATGGCCATGCCATTGCCATGCTGGCGCCATGCTCTTGCCATGCCGTTGCCGTTCTGTCGCCGTGCGCGTGCCGCGCAGTCGCCGCGATGTTTCCACGATGTTGCCGCGGTGCTGCGACGCAGCGCCCTCGCGGACGCCATGCCGCGCTGCTGCCGCTCACTTGCCGCGCGGCGCGGTCGGATTGCCGCAGCCGTTCTGGATCCCAGGCCCGCCCAGAGCACCGCGAAGATCGCTGCGCAGTATTCCTGCTCCGCGATGGACTCCCGCCGCAAGGCTCCCGACGACGCCTCGGCCGCGCTTCCGCCGCCCGCGAAGGTCGCCAAGGCCGCCGCGAAGGGCCCTCGCCCCGAGGAACCTCCAGCGCCCGCCGCCCCGATTCCGACGCCAGCGCCTCCAGGCGCCCCTGCGGATGTTGCGGCGCCCCGCGTGCCGGTGCTCCCCGTCGGGGAGGAGGCGGCCAACTACAGCGAGGAAAAGACCGAGACCTTGATGCGAGCCGTCGTCGCTTACAACAGGCACCGCGTTCGGCGGGTCATGAAGGAGGACTCCAGGTGGTTCAAGGGATGGCAGGACCGGCCCGCGCACGAGCACCAGCCCCTCGCCATCAGGAAGCCCGACTCCAAGGACGACCTGCTCACATACGTCAGCCCGTGGAAGAGGGCCGAGGCCCTCGTCTCGTTCAACGGAACGGGCACGTACAAAGGGGGCGGCAACGTGTTCTGGTTGGACCCTTTCGTGGGGTCGTCCGGGAAGATGCGCTCCATTGCTGGGGACCCGCCGCTCTACCAGGCGTGCCTCGACGCCGCCGAGCAGTACGCCCTAGGCAAGATACACCAAGAAGGGGTGGCGCGGGGGACGGTGAGCGCGGCGCACGAAGCGAGGATCAAGTTCCCCCACGTCTTCACCGCTTTCGGTTGGAATTTGGGTGGGTTCGACGCCGACCATTTCGACTCCTCTCTGCCGCTCGTCTGCGGTCACGTGGCTCTATGGGGCTTCCATCTCGCTCTGACGAAGGCCCTCGTGGCAGGTAACATGGCATCAGTGGCGGTGTTGGTCCAGGCCGCCCTCTGCGCGCCCATCGAGGGCGTCCTCGTGGAGTCCGAGGAGAAGCTCTCCGTGCTCTCCATGATGACGAGCGACGCCGCCCGCAGGCAGTACGACTACCTGAAGAATTCTTTCCCCGCGTTCGCTCGCAAGCTCATGGTGGCCCTGGACGGCGCCACGACTAAAGGGGCAGCGGCCAGGCTCGCATTCTGCACCGACAATAGCATCCGCTTCAACGGCACCGTCGTGTACAGGAGCATGCTCTGCGCTGCGCAGAACTGCCACGACAGGCTCGACGACAGGGCGATCCGCACCCTGCGCTACATCGAGAGCAAGAGTGGAGCGAGCAAGTGCGACCTCACCTCGAACTTCACCACCCTGAACCGTATCCTGCAGGTCTGCACGAAGGAGGTCGAGAAGGGCAACGCTGCCATGTGGGGCGCAGTGACGGCAACCGATCTTGTCAACCACGTCTTGGACTACATCGCCTGGGCCCTCGACCACGACCTGGTCGCAGGAGGTGGCGTGACAACGTCGTGGCTGGAGAAGAAGAAGAAGGACAGCGACGAAGCAGGGGCGATGAGGATGACACTGGCGAAGATCTACGTGCGCGTCTTCGTCCACTCCCTGGTGGACGACCTCCCTGACTCCAGCAGCGCGAAGCAGGAGTTCCTCCGCGTCTTGCCTCACTTCTCGAGCTACGCTGTCTTCGGCAGGACCTTCGGCGCCGCGGCTAAGGGTGCTTCGCCGCCCGCGGGCGGCGAGGGTGAGGAGGAGGCCGACACGGCGGGCCAATGTGGGGTGCTGGTCGACGACCCCTTCGGGAAGATGAAGGCGCAGACCTCCGGGGCGGCCGTGAAGCTGCTCGAGTTCTTCTTCGACCTCTTCAGCCAGAGTTTCGACGACAGCCTCCGCGAGTTCCTGACCGCGGACGCCAACGTGAATCAGGCCGTGTGCCAGGTCAAGTGGGAGGAGTGGTCGCAAGCAAACCTCGTGGACATCAGGAGGACGCTGGGCCTCCACAGGATGACTGTGCCAGCCGGCGAGGGTTCTGATATGCCCGCTGCCTCGACGCGCGGTCTGAAGCGGAGCCTCTCGGCGGCAGGCGACGACGGGCCGGACGACGAGGACGCCGACGACCGCGAGAAGGAGATCTGCAAGGAGCGCGCGGAGGCGTGGAGCCAGGCGCAAGCGCTCCGCCGCAAGTGGCTGACGCCCACGTTCATCAAGACCGACAGGCTTAGCAAGGAGCACCTCGACAAATGGTGGGAGAAACAGTCGGCCGCCCAACAGTTCGAGGGCAACCCCGGCAAGTCGCATCGCGTCTTCGTGTTGTCGGGGGAGAGGTGGGCCCACGAGACGGGCGAGACTCCGTGGGCGGACGAGCCCTCGTCGCCGGCCTCCCTGGACGTGGCGCTGGACTGGCTCTTGGAGCGGCAGGGCCCGTGCGACACGCTCCTCGTCTTCGACGGCCGCTCCTCCTCGATCCGCGCGACGATGGAGAAGAAGATGAAGAACGCTCGCCACGTCAGCGACATCTGGGTCATTTACCAGCCGAAGAAGGAGAAGGGAGGGCAGAAGGCCGTGTTCGGGTCCAGGAACCGCGAGGTCGGTTGGGTAAGCTTTCCCGTATCGAAGGCCCACGTCCCGACGCAGGAGCGCAAGGCCGCGCGCAGCGGAGGGAACGACTGGGAGTCGACCACCTACTCGTCCACATTCTCGAGCATGGTCCCCTTGGCGTGGGGCCAGCTCCCGAGCATCGCCCTCGCGGACAAGGCAAAGATCATCGGTGCCGCGGCGCCCGTGCCCCCGCGCGCGACGTTCGACGCAGACCTCGGATGCCCGCTGTGCTGGCAGGAGGTAAAGTCCAAGGACCTCTGGAGCGCTGTGCTGGAGGCCGCGAACGCTGACTTCGTGGTGGACTTGGGCGTCGGGGGCGGAATCGCGGCGCGGTCGTGTCTCTCTCTCGGCATCCCGTGGGTCGGCCTCTGCTGGAACCAGGTGCACGCTCAGTGGCTCAACAACGTCGTCGACCGCTGGACTCTGGAGGAGATCGCGAAGAAGGGTTCCCCCCTGCACGAGGAGGACTTGGCGAAGCTCGTGCGCGAGCACTTCTCGGACGTGCTGCAGCAGATCAAGGACCGCGACGAGATGACGCAGGAAGACTCGGAGGACGAGGAGGCCGAGGAGGAGGGGCAGGCGTGAGCGCGCTAGCAGGGGGCAGAGCCCGAGCCAGAGCCTCGACGCCTGGCAGGCTCGAGCCTCCGTCCGCGCCGCCGCGATACCCCGCGCCCTCGCGGGGAGCGGCTCAGAGGATCTTCTCTCGAGCGCCTACACGCGCCTTTTGCGAGAGAATCCTCCTTCGATTCGACCCGTGATGGGTCCGCGTCCGCCAGGAAACATTGCTTGACGCGTGCCGTTGCCATGCCCAGGCCGTGCCGCTGCCATGCCCAGGCCGTGCCGTGGCCATGCTCAGGACGTGCCGTTGCCATGCCCAGGCCGCGCCGTTGCCATGCCCAGGCCGTGCCGTTGCCATGCCCAGGCCGCGACGTTGCCATGCCCAGGCCGCGCCGTTGCCATGCTCATGCCGTGCCGTTGCCATGGTCCGGCCGTGCCGTTGCCATGCCCAGGCTGAGCCGTTGCCGTGCCCAGGCCGTGCCGTTGCCATGCCCAGGCCGTGCCGTTGCCATGATCTGGCCGTGCCGTTGCCATGCCCAGGCCGTGCCGTTGCCATGCCCAGGCCGTGCCGTTGCCATGCCCAGGCCGTGCCGTTGCCATGCCCAGGCCGTGCCGTTGCCATGCCTAGGCCGTGCCGTTGCCATGCCCAGGCCGCGCCGTTGCCATGCCCCGGCCGTGCCGTTGCCATGCCCAGGCCGTGCCGTTGCCATGCCCAGGCCGCGACGTTGCCATGCCCAGGCCGTGCTGTTGCCATGCCCAGGCTGTGCCGTTGCCATGCCCAGGCCGTGCCGTTGCCATGCCCAGGCCGTGCCGTTGCCATGCCCAGGCCGCGCCGTTGCCATGCCCAGGCCGCGCCGTTGCCATGCCCAGGCCGTGCCGTTGCCATGCTCACGCCGTGCCGTTGCCATGCTCAGGCCGTGCCGTTGCCATGCCCAGGCCGCGCCGTTGCCATGCCCAGGCCGTGCCGTTGCCATGCCCAGGCCGTGCCGTTGCCATGCCCAGGCCGCGCCGTTGCCATGCTCAAGCCGCGCCGTTGTCATGCCCAGGCCGTGGCGTAGCCACGCCCAGGCTGTGCCGTTGCTATGCCCAGGTCGTGCCGTTGCCATGCCCAGGCCGCGCCGTTGCCATGCTCAGGCCGTGCCGTTGATATGCCCAGGCCGCGCCGTTGCCATGCCCAGGCCGTGCCGTTGCCATGCCCTGGCCGCGCCGTTGCCATGCTCAAGCCGTTCCGTTGCCATGCCCAGGCCGTGCCGCTGCCACGCCCAGTCCGCGCCGTTGCCATGCCCAGGCCGTGCCGTTGCCATGCCCAGGCCGGGCCGTTGCCATGCCCAGGCCGTGCCGTTGCCATGCTCAGGACGTGCCGTTGCCATGCCCAGGCCGTGCCGTTGCCATGCCCAGGCCGTGCCGTTGCCATGCCCAGGCCGTGCCGTTGCCATGCCTTGGCCGTGCCGTTGCCATGCCCAGGCCGTGCCGTTGCCATGCCCAGGCCGGGCAGTTGCCATGCCCAGGCCGTGCCGTTGCCATGCCCAGGCCGTGCCGTTGCCATGCCCAGGCCGTGCCGTTGCCAGGCTGAGGCCGCGCCGTTGCCGTGCCCAGGCCGCGCCGTTGCCATGCCCAGGCCGAGCCGTTGCCATGCTCAGGCCGTTCCGTTGCCATGCCCAGGCCGTGCCGTTGCCATGCTCAGGCCGTGCCGTTGCCACGCCCAGGCCGTGCCGTGGCCGTGCCGTTGCCATACTCCGTCCTGGCCGCGCCGTTGCCATGCTCAGGCCGTGCCGTTGGCGAGCCCAGGCCGCGCCGTTGCCGCGCCGAGGCCGTGCTGTCGCCATGCCCAGGCCGTGCCGTTGCCATGCCCAGGCCGCGCCGTTGCCGTGCCTGGGCCGTGCCGTTGCCATGCCCAGGCCGCGCCGTCGCCATGCCCAGGCCGTGCCGTTTGCCATGACCGGCCCGCGCGTTGCCAGCCAGGCCGTGCCGTTGCAGCTCAGCCGTGCCGCAGAGTCGAGCCGTTGCCATGCCCACGGCCGTGCCGTTGCCATGCCCAGGCCGTGCCGTTGCCATGCCCAGGCCGCGCCGTTGCCATGCCCAGGCCGTGCCGTTGCCATGGCCAGGCCGTGCCGTTGCCATGCCCAGGTCGTGCCGTTGCCATGCCCAAGCCGCGCCGTTGCCATGCCCAGGCCGTGCCATGGCCATGCCCAGGCCGTGCCGTTGCCATGCCCAGGCCGAGCCGTTGCCATGCCCTGGCCGTGCCGTTGCCATGCCCAGGCCGTGCCGTTGCCATGCACAGGCCGTGCCGTTGCCATGCCCAGGCCGAGCCGTTGCCATGCCCAGGCCGTGCCGTTGCCATGCCCAGGCCGTGCCGTTGCCATGCCCAGGCCGTGCCGTTGCCATGCCCAGGCCGGGCCGTTGCCATGCCCAGGCCGTGCTTCGCCGTGCCCAGGCCGTGCCGTTGCCATGCCCAGGCCGTGCCGTTGCCGTGCCCATGCCGCGCCGTGCCATGCTTCCGTGCCGTTGCCATGCCCAGGCCGTGCCGTTGCCATGCCCAGGCCGTGCCGTTGCCATGCCCAGGCCGCGCCGGGCGTGCCCTGGGCCGTGCCGTTGGCTGCACAGGCCGGCCGTCGCCATGCCCAGGCCGTGCCGTTGCCATGCCCAGGCCGTGCCGTTGCCATGCCCAGGCCGCGCCGTTGCCATGCCCAGGCCGCGCCTCATCCATGCCCGGGCCGTGCCGTTGCCATGCCCTGGCCGTTCCGTTGCCATGCTCGGGCCGTGCCGTTGCCATGCCCAGTCGACGCCGTTGCCATGCCCAGGCCGTGCCGTTGCCATGCCCAGGCCGTGCCGTTGCCACGCCCAGGCCGTGCCGTTGCCATGCCCAGGCCGTGCCGTTGCCGTGCCCAGGCCGCGCCGTTGCCATGCCCCGGCCGCGCCGTTGCCATGCCCAGGCCGTGCCGTTGCCGTGCCCAGGCCGCGCCGTTGCCATGCTTAGGCCGTGCCGTTGCCATGCCCAGTCCGCGCCGTTGCCATGCCCAGGCTGAGCCGTTGCCATGCCCAGGCCGTGCCGTTGCCATGCCCAGGCCGAGCCGTTGCCATGCTCAGGCCGTGCCGTTGCCATGGCCAGGCCGTGCCGTTGCCATGCCCAGGCCGTGCCGTCGCCATGCCCAGGCCATGCCGTTGCCATGCCCAGGCCGTACCGATGCCAGGCTCAGGCCGTGCCGTTGCTATGCCCAGGCCGCGCCGTTGCCATGCCCAGGCCGTGCCCTTGCCATGCCCACGCCGCGCCGCTGCCATGCCCCAGGCCGAGCCGATGCCATGCTCAGGCCGTGCCGTTGCCATGCCCAGGCCGCGCCGTTGCCATGCCCAGGCCGTGCCGTTGCCATGCCCTGGCCGAGCCGCTGCCGTGCTCAGGCCGTGCCGTCGCCACGCCCAGGGCGGGCCGTTGCCATGGTCAGGCCGTGCCGTTGCCACGCCCAGGCCCAGGCCGTGCCGTTGCCATGCCCAGGCCGCGCCGTTGCCATGCTCAGGCCGTGCCGTTGCCATGCCCAGGCCGTGGCGTTGCCATGCCCAGGCCGTGCCGTTGCCATGCTCACGCCGTGCCGTTGCCATGCCCAGGCCGCGCCGTTGCCATGCCCTGGCCGTGCCGTTGCCACGCCCAGGCCGTGCCGTTGCCATGCCCAGGCCGTGCCGTTGCCATGCGGCCGTGCCGTTGCCATGCCCAGGCCGTGCCGCTGCCATGCTCAGGCCGCGCCGTTGCCATGCCCATGCCGCGCCGTTGCCATGCCCAGGCCGCGCCGTTGCCATGCCCAGGCCGCGCCGTTGCCATGCCCAGGCCGCGCCGTTGCCATGCCCAGGCCGTACCGATGCCAGGCTCAGGCCGTGCCATTGCCATGCCCAGGCCGTGCCGCTGCCATGCCCAAGCCGTGCCGTTGCCATGCCCAGGCCGTGCCGTTGCCATGCTCAGGCCGTGCCGTTGCCATGCTCAGGCCGTGCCGTTGCCATGCCCAGGCCGCGCCGTTGCCATGCCCAGGCCGAGCCCTTGCCATGCCCATGCCGCGCCGTTGCCATGCCCAGGCCGTGCCGTTGCCATGCCCCGGCCGCGCCGTTGCCATGCCCAGGCCGGGCAGTTGCCATGCTCAGGCCGTGCCGTTGCCATCCCCAGGCTGAGCCGTTGCCATGCCCAGGCCTTGCCGTTTCGACGCCCAGGCCGCGCCGTTGCCATGCCCATGCCGAGGAAGAGGAGGAGGAGGAGAAGGAGGCTGAGGAGGAAGAAATCGAAGAGCTGTAGGAGGAGGAGCAGCAGGAGGAGCTGTAGGGGGAGGAGGGAGGGGGGAGGAGAAGGGCAAGGCGGACGACGAAGAGGAGGAGGAGGAGGGGGAGGAGCGGAGGGCCATGCGTCCAGGATTTTGGGGGGGCAACTCTGTTAAAGATTCTTGGCCTGCGTTCAGCCGTCGTCGCCGTCGGCAGGTTCGGTCGGGAACCAGGCGGCATCTTTGCTAATTTCTTGTTGTCCACGGCAGGGTTAGTTCGGAACCAAGGGGAGGGGGGCAACTTTGCCCCCGCAATTTTGTTAACGCGATGTGGTTTTCACGCTCCTAGACACCGTCGTCGCCGCGTGGTCGCCCTCCTCGTCACCGTCGTCCGTTATGCTGCTGCCATGTCGTCGCCATGCGGTTGCCATGCTGCTGCCATGATGTCGTCATGCTGCTGCGATGCTGTTGCCATGCCGTTGCCGTGCTGCTGCCATGCCGTTGCCATGCTGGCGCCATGCTGTTGCCATGCGGATGCCTCGCTGCTGCCATGCTGTTCCCGTGCCGCTGCGGTGCCGTCGCCATGCCGTTGCGGCGCTGTTTCCGTGCTGTTGCCGTGCTGTTGCAATGCGGTGGCCGTGCTGCTGCCATGCTCTGCCCATGCTGCTGCCGTGCTGTCGGCATGCCGTCGCCATGCCGCTGCCATTCCGTCGCCATGCTGATGCCATGCTGGTGCCATGCCCTGGCCATGCTGCTGCCATGCTGTTCCCATGCTGCTGCCATGCTGTCGCCATGCTGTTTGCCTCGCCGTCGCCACTCTATTGCTATGCTTTTGCCATGCTGATGCCGTGCTGTTGCAATGCTGATGCCATGCTGTCGCCATGCTATGACCATGCTGTTGCCGTTCTGTGGCCATGCCATTGCCATGTTGTTGCCATGCGGCCGGATTGCCGTCTGGGGGCCCTCCTGGGGGTCCTCTCGGATACCTCTTGGGGCGTCTTGGGGGCCTCGTGGGCCGCCTCAAGGCGGTACTTGGCCGTGTCGTGCGTGCAACCTTGGGCAGTCTTGGAGGTGTCTTGTCCCAGCTTACAGGCCTCCTGGGACCCTGTGGGCCATCTGGGAGGCCATCTGTGACCGTCTTGAGCTGTCTGGGACCTCCTTGGGAGCCATCTTGGGCCGCAATGGCCGTCCTGGAGGAGGGCTTTCCGTACGTGAAGCTCCTTTGGGGTGGTTTCCTGGAGACCGGCGGGCTGCGCCAGAGGCCATCGGGATTCTCCTGGAAGGGCCACGAAGAGCTTCAAAGCTCGGCGCGCCAAGCACCCCTGTGGCGGGCGAAGGGGTCGGCGGATCTATCCCGCCA